ACTTCCGTTATGCTTCCGCTCCGAACTTGCTTCATTGTCATTCTACCTTCCCGATACCGCGCCTCAGACATTCATTTTCCTGATACGTCTTCGTCTCTTATTTTCTTATATATACGAACATGAGCTCGCCTACGATAGATAGCTATCTGCTCTGCTCCCTCCTGTACCCTCGATACACCTTATCCGATCACTGCCGTTTCTGTTCTGTCTTCGTTCGATCTTAGTGTTCCCGCCTCTCGGCGGGCTTCCACTTTTTTTTGTTTTTGAGGGATCAGCTTGTACTCCGAGAGCAGAGATGAAGTGTCCTAAAAATTCAACTTCGGTGGCGAACAACTCGGTTTTTTTGGGAGAACAGAAAAGACTCGCCTCTCGCAGAGCTTCCAAGACGAGTTTGACGTTCTTGACGTGTTCAGCGACAGAGCTAGACCAGATAATAATGTCATCGAGATAAACGTGCAGGCCTTGGGTTAGGTTCGTGCGGCTGAGAAGTACCTGCTGCAACGTGACGACAGATGCATCCGAGTTATTCTTATAGGTCTGTCCGTCTACGCTGACTTGGAACACGCCATGGTCGTTACGGTTGCTGCCATATATGGTGAAACCCGTGCCACTGAAGGTGAACGTCGCTGACTGTTCGTTAGGTTTACTGCTAACAGTGTAAGTGCCAAGGTAATAGCTGTGGATTTGCATCGTAAATGGTAGTACGACGATACATAAGAAAGAGACGCACTAGCTGCCGGATGAATCGCCTGCAGATCCTCCATACCCCCAAGTTCCCTGATACTGAATGAGAGGGGACTGGTCATCCAGGAGAATCGTAACAGTGGGCATCGAACTTGAGAAGACAGTCTGGTTGGTCCTAGAGGAAAAGCTACGATCGTTTGGCGGAAGCGCTCTGAGCATACATACCACTTCATCGTGTTTGATCCCAGGGTCCGACGTCGACACTTTTGGCTTTAACTGTCAAATCATAGGCTATGCTCTACGCAGCTAACAGGACGAAGTGATGCCGGGCAGAAGCAGATATGCAATATGAAGTCCGAGAATATACTAATGACATGCGGCACGTATAGAGAAGCGGATGTAAGGAGAGTGGGTGAAGCCCTGAGGGCCTCCGGCCCGAAACGAGGTTCCTAAAACAGCGGCAAGACAAGCTGCGGGCGGGCTGGGCACCGATGGAGCTTGTCTCGACGCGCTGTGACAGGGCCAAGCGTCGGACAGTGGTTAAGAAAGGATAGTAAGGTATGTTGAAAACCGGGTCTTGCAGGCCCGGGCTCTGTGGTGTGACAGAGGGGGCGTGTCTTGGATCTGTGTTCGCGCGGGAGCGGGTCTCTGGGGGCCTGACCTGACTGAATGGTCCCGGAAAGGGACGGGGTTGGGTCCAGGGTTCAGGCCTTCAGGGGGGAGGGGTTAGAGGCTCCGAGCCCGCGTGTGGCGCGGATGAGCTGGCGCAGCCAGGAGAGGAAAGGGGGCTCCAGAGTGCGAGCTACTTTGGGAAGCGGGATGGGGTGGTGGGCTGCGCTCGAGGCATAAAGGGTGACTGGCGCCTTGTGGAGTGGTCTGAGGTTGGAGAACTCCTCCGTGTAGCCAATGAGGTCGCGGGGGCCCACTCGAAGGTGCGTCGGGGCTTCCTGGTCAGCGACCGTCTGGCTGGCTGATATCTCTCCGCGGAAGGCAAGGACGTCTCCGCTGTTGGGGTTCTTGGGGTCGCGCTTGAGGAAAGCAGAGATGCGGTCCCCCACGGCCAGGGCGCGGCCGCGAGGGCTGACGATGCGCCGGAGGATGAAGGCAGGTGTGGGGGGAACAGTGGAGGTGTCCTCCGCTGGCTCTGCCCGCTCCACGATGATGGTGGTCACGCCCACGATCTGGAGGTCCGCGACGATGGCGACAGGAATATGCTGAGAGTGGTGGGTTGTGTCCATGATTGGTGAGGAGGGTGGGGAAGGAGGGTTGGGGTTTTTAACGGCCTGGGTGCGTAGTCAGGGTCTACGTAATGGTGGCGCGCTAGGCGTAGTGGGGAAGATCCCCGTCCAGGGGGACGTAAGAGCCATGGGAGAAAGACCGGCCAGGCGACCATGGGTTGCGTCCCAGCGGACGGGGTTGCCGAGAAAACTTTCTTAAAACCACTGTGGCCTCCAGAGAGGGTGTGGTGGGCGGGTAAACAAAGAGTGACGAGTGACGGCGCGGGCGAGCAGGAGGGTGGATGGAACAGGGAGGCCTCGCAGAGCACCGTCGAGGAGGAGAAGAGAAGAGAGTGGAGAGTCACACGGTCCCGAGCCGCGCGTAGACTATCCTCTATCACGCCACGTGCCTCGCTACTAGACTTACATCTACGCAGCTAACGGGACGAAGTGATGCCGGGCAGAAGCAGATATGCAATATGAAGTCCGAGAATATACTAATGACATGCGGCACGTATAGAGAAGCGGATGTAAGGAGAGTGGGTGAAGCCCTGAGGGCCTCCGGCCCGAAACGAGGTTCCTAAAACAGCGGCAAGACAAGCTGCTTTCCCAAAAATCAGGAGTCAGCGACGCGAGCAGGCGAAGCGCTTAACCCGCAGTATTTAGGAGGTGGCGTACCTGAGTCACGCGGCTGGCGGCAGCGTGTACCTTGTGAATGGGTCCAGGACTGGTGAGTCCTGGAGGTACGGGGCAAGGATGACGGCGTGTTTCCGGAGGTACACCGTGAATGAGTCGCCCGCCCATCTGCCCATGGCTTTGACCGCCTCAAAAGGCACGCCCCGGAGGAGGTACTCGAGGGTACCTCCGATGCGGATGCCGTGGCCCTTGGCCAGTGGGATCTGTAGTGTGTCCGCCGCCGCAGACAGCCGGCGAAGGAACTGCCACTTGGAGAGGGCCACGATCCCTCGTTTGGGGTGGTGCCACGCGAAAAGGTGGGCGTCGGTTGGGGCGGCGTTGACCCGCAGGTGGTTGTTGAGGGCGGTAATGGGATCGGTGGCGTCGGACTGGGACGCGCACTGGGTATCGGCGCCGGCCACGGGGGAGGTCTTTGTTTTCGGGATGTGAAAACGGGTGGCCTTGAGTCCGTTGCGGTCGACAACTTCGGCAACGTCGCGGCGGGATATGTAGCTCCGGGGGTTGGCCTTGAAGGCGTCGGTGGACGGTACCGTGAACTCGCCCAGCCGGGCTACGCAGTAGAAGGACACTACGAGGCACGCGTAGACGGCGGCGTCGCACGAGTTCGTGGGGTCTAGGACGCTATGGATGCGCAGGATATCGTCGACGGTGAAAGGGGCGCGTTTTGGGCGCGTTGACTTTTCGGGGGCGAGGCGTCGGGCGCCTTCTAGGATGCCGGCCTGCTGGTCGGCGGGTAGCAGCCAGGGGAAGCCGTGGAGGCGGTGCCACGCGGCGATGGCGGCGACGTAGTTGTCCAGGCACGATCCAGAGTACGACCCGGCGCAGGTAGTGATGAACTTTGAGAGGAGAATGGCGGAGGCGGGGCACCGGCGTTCTTCAGGCACCTTCTCGCGGTCGCAGAACAGGTGGTAGATGAGGAGGCCCGAGCCGTACACGCTCTTTGTGGACTCCCGCCAGGAGCCTGCGTAGACGTCTAGGATCCTCTCGAACTCCGCGTCGGAGGTCACGAGGTCAGTGGGCAGGGATTCAGTGAGGCGTGGCGACGGGACGGCAGGCTTCCAGCGCAGCACGCGCTCGTTGGCCCTGCAGGGCGGGCGGTACTCGGATGGGATGAGGGCGCGCGCGTCGGCCGATAGCGAAGGGGGGGAGGGTGCGGCGGTTGACTGCGTCGGGAGGGGGGCGTTGAAGCGTCGGTACGACGTGCTGCGGTCAAGCGTCATCGCGGGTTGCCTCGTCGATAAAGGTGTCGTCTCGTTGTTGTAGGCGGCGGGTTTCGGCGTTGGCGTGCGCGCGCTGGCGGAGCCGGGTGGGGTGATCTGGCTTTGGTATGCCAGATCCAGGCGCCGGGTGAGGAGCGGTGGGGTCGGCGAGGATGATGAAGGGATCAAGGTCAGGGTGGACGGGAACGTGGTTGATTGTGAGGTTGGGGGTGCCATGGATGCCTCGAGAAGGGGCGTCAGCGGGGTTGAGCTTGCTGGGTACGTACGCCGAGATGATGCGGAACCGGTGGGGGAGGAGTCGGAGGTGTTTGTGGATGCGCTGGAAAACCTTGTTGACAGCGCGGTTTCGGCTGCGTCCACGCTGCCAGCCTTCAACAACTCCGGTGTTGTCTCCGAAGACGACCAGGTCCGTGTCAGCATGGAACAGGCGAGTGACGGCGAGGATGAGGAGCTCAAATCCCACTGCCTCTGCCCATCCGATGTCCTTCTCTCCATCACGGGTGCGCCAACCAGGGAGCAGGCGCCACGCTTGCCAGCGTTGGCCGATGACGATGCCAATGCCTACACCTGAACTGGCGTCCGAGTAGGCTTGGAGGACGACTGGAGGGGATGGGGGAGAGATGGGGGAACGGACGCCGCCGGAGGAGAGCATGCTCCCCCACCATTTGAGGTCGGGGGCAATGGTTTTGTCCGGTCGGACCTTCTTGTGCGGTTCTTTCCCGCACACGCTCAGCATGGCCTCGAGGCCGAGGAGGTAAGCTCTGCCCTCGCGCAGGACCGTGGCTGCGTGCAGGAGTTTGCCGTACAGGCGTTGGACGTCCTTGAGGGTGTGGGTGCGCCGCTCGTGCCACTCGGCGATGGTGTCGGTGTACCGCTGGGCTTTCTCGGGGGATAAGGAGACTTTCAAACCTCGCATGTCCCACTTGAAGCCGGTGAAAATTGTCGATGGCGCGAAGGGTTGGTCCTTGTCCAGGGCCCAGGGTGGGCCTAGGGGGCCGGTGATTTCGCCGACGTCCGTCATGCAGTACGAAAAAAGGCGGTCGTGGCTCGAGCGTGGTGAGGACCGTGAGAGATCCCGGATAGGGTGGTAGCAGTCCTCGTTAAACTCCTCGTCGTCGAGGTATGGGGAGTCGGAGGGGTTGCAGTACCAGGTTCTGCTGCCCGTTTGCTGTCTTCCGAGGCGCGCGATGCCCTGGTGCCATTGCGCTCGGCTGGCGTTGTAGTCCTCCAGATGTTCGCGTAGGATGCGTGCGAGGAATTTGTCGTCGACCCATTTGTCCAGCGGGCCAACGCCCCGGTGACGCATGATCTCGAGCAGTGCGTCAGCGACCGCGCCGAAGATGCCGCCTGATGGCCGGGCGCCGAATGCTGTACACGTGTCGATGACGCCGTCTGTGTCAGAAATACGGACCACGGCTGCGGGCCACTGTGATGGGTGGAGAGGAACCGTGCGGTATGCTTCTGAGATGTCCCGTGTGGCTAGTTCGGAGCCTGGGGGAAGCCTGGACACGAGCAGGTATATGACTTTGAAAGTGCCCCATGTGGTGGGGAAGTTATCTGCATCGGTAAAGGAATTTACGGAGGGTAGAGGGGTGGAAGGAGAGGTGTGTAGTGGGAAGGAAAAATTTTGGACGAGGCGGAATTTGTTCACCTTGTGAGGCTTCGGGACGAGGGATAGAGGGGACGACTGGAATGGACCGATGAGCGATTCTATGGTATTAAGGGGCAAGGGGCCTATGTAGCGTTCTCTGGCTAGTTCGTTCTGTACGATATCGTAGAAAGCGTCTTTGTACATGACGACGGATTTGTCATTAGGGGGTGATTGGGTAGACGAGATTACAGGGAAGTCTAAAACGAAACCGTGACGGAGGCCTTTGATGACGTGCGCGTGCTGCTCCAGGGATCCGGCCGCGCGTAGCTCGCGTTCCCACACATCAGCGGGGTATGGTGTTTTCGGGTAGCGGTTTCTGTGCGCGAGTGCACCAGTGGGCCCCGTGTCCGGTGCTGAGGCACCCGGAGCAGACGTGGCGGGCGGGGTGGTCCTTCTCCCTGCAGCTGCCGGGTTGCTGCCATGACGCGCAGAGGGGGCGGCCCGATGAGCGGAGTTGCAGGTTTCCCTTCGTTCCTCTGGTGGCGGATGTGTCGTTCTTGCCGTCCCAGGTGCGGCTGAGCTTGCACTCGATAACCTTGTGGGGGTTGCGGCCGAGACATACGGAGCAGATGGCTTTGGGATCGTCGGGGTTGGATGGGGCAGGAAAAGTCTTGGCGCGCTTGTGGGGGCGTTCCCCGGCGTCGTCGGGCTCCTGGGAAGCTGCGCGGCGGCGCGCCTCGCGTGCCGGCCGGTTGGTTGGCGTGGCAGGGGCGGCCGCTGCATGCGCTGGTGGTGGGGCAAGGTGGTGGGTGGGTGGCATTGAGGCAAAGGGGCAGGTGGGCCGCATGGGCGGGAGCAAGTGAGAAAACGTGGGCCGCGTGGGCGTGGCAGGGGGCAGGGGCATGATGTGGCAGGGGCATGGGGGGACAGGGGGCATAGAGGGGGGTGGGTGGCGGTGTGGGGGGGAAAAACCAGTTCGCGGGTTGCGAGGGGGAAACGATGTGAGCTGTGAACGTGGACTGCGAGAAGGGGGGGGGTACTACTTACGGAGCTGGCCGTCGGTCCGGTAGAGGACTTGGTAGAAGAGCCGTTCGCGAACGAGGTCGAGGTGGCGCTCGTTGATCTCGAGTTTGTAGCCCACCTTGGCCTTCAGGGCGCGGTGCCAGGCTGCGCGCTGTTCCTCCTGGTATTGGAGCAGAGCGGCGCGGTGTAGGCCGGCGCCTTCTTGTCGGTACCACCATGGGTGGGACAGGATGGCGGACCAGAACTTGTAAAGCCAGTTGACGCGGGTCGGCTCCCAGTTGTTCTCGCGCATGGCGGTGATCATGAGGGGGGTCCCGAATGCTAGGTCTTCGTAGGAGAGGTACCGGTCTTTTACGACTGGCGCTTTGGGGTCGCGGATGGCGACGGCTGGCTTGAACTCCGCAACGCCTGTGAGTGCATTGGTGACCTGGACTAGCGCGTCGCCGTCTGGGTCGAGGGAGGCGGTGGCAGCGAAGCGTATGCCGGCGGGGGTCCACCACCATATCTCGCTGGGCTCACCTTCCTCCATGCGCCTGACGGCGAAGGGGTGGGCGATGGCCTGCGGGGTGTCGGGCATTGGGCGGTCGGGGACGGGGGTGTGTTTGTGCTTGTACTTCTTGCGGTCTTCGGCGAGGGCTTCGGCTGCCAGCGCTGCCTGGGCCTGGGCCTCCTGGTCGCTTGCGGCCGCATGGTCGGCGGCTGCTTGCTCTTCTGCTAGCCGGGAGACTTCTACCTGGCGGTTCCAGGCTTCTAGACGTCGGGCGTGTTCGACCGCCCACCGCCGCTCGAGGGCTTTGGCGGCGGCTGCGTGGTCCACTTGCAAGGGGTCCTCGTGCATGGCTTCTCTGTCCAAGGTGAACTCCGGGGTGGAGAAGTCTGGCAAGGTTTCGTTCGTGGGGTCAGACATGGCTGGCGGAAGATTTTCGGGGGGGGCAGGCGATGGTGTAAAGGAAGACGGGGGAAAGCTGTGAAGGATAGTGCGCAGTTGGAGGAGTGAGGGACAGGAAACAAAGAGTGACGAGTGACGGCGCGGGCGAGCAGGAGGGTGGATGGAACAGGGAGGCCTCGCAGAGCACCGTCGAGGAGGAGAAGAGAAGAGAGTGGAGAGTCACACGGTCCCGAGCCGCGCGTAGACTATCCTCTATCACGCCACGTGCCTCGCTACTAGACTTACAACAAACGGCACAACCGGGAGTAGTTGAAGCCTGTTGCAGCGCGCATGCACGTACTGAGATGAAAAGCAGTACTGCACAGCAATAAAAAGCGGTGATTCAGTGGCACAGGTGTATAATAGAGATCATTGTGATAGGGAGATGCTTCAGCATCATCCAAAAGTCGTTAGCGATTTTGCTATCGAATGCACATAAGAATACTGACGACAGTGGCGGAGTTGTTTGAAAGAGTACTACCAGATGAAACAAAGGAATTAGAGGCGGTCGCGGCCAGTTGGCGACTCGGGTCGTGAGACGGCAAGAATGTTTGATGGCTGTTCCATAGCGTGGAACTTTTAAGCAGCGTCATATGATTCGCCGAGCACCTCCGAGCGCCCATGTTTCGTCGTACCTGGTGAGAGGGGTCTGGTCATCCAAAGTAGTAGACAAAGTGTTCAAATTGTCACGGTGCTCGTAATCGAAGTTAGAAGTCGAGAAAGAGCAGTAGAGGATACTTATGTCATGATGTGCATTAAGGCACGGCCCCTCATAGAATGTTTTCGGCGGGTGGATTTTTTAATACTTCATCCAAGGGAGCCTATTTCAACCGCAACAAAGGTTCGAGTGAGTTCGAGTGAGTCTGATCGGTACTTGGGAGAGACCGAGCTAGGTGACACGCATACACGAAGGTGAGGCACATTGTGAGGCCCAAGTTGAGGCCGTCACTGTGAGAACGTGTGTCGTCTTTCGAAACATGTGTATAGTTGAGACATACCTGGAGGCCAGCGCGTTGACTTCTCTATGTACTCCTGTGGGTCGAGGACGAGACGTGCGCGTGAACACGAATCGACACAACTGTTTAAAATTACTGGGATCCGGAGGGGTCAATGCCCAAGAGCACGTGGTCAGACCCCTAAATGGAAACTCGCTTAAGACACGCGCCTTCCGACCCCTCGCCTCGATTTCCCTCAACCTCCCAACCTGAGCCCACACATTAACTATTAACACGATGGGGACGTCGCACCGTCTCGTACTTCCTCTCATCTTCCTGCCGCCACTCCTGCTGCTCAGTTACTTCTTCTCGCACTTCCCGAACCCGCCAACGTCGCTCCACGTGCACCCGTCGCTGTCAAGCCTCTCCCCCGATCTGCACGCGTTATCGTGCTACCCTAAGGATATCTACCCCGGCGGCGCGTATGTCTCTCTTCCGTATGGACGGGTGCGGTATTGGATTATGGGACCGGAGGATGGAGAGAAGGTGCGTTATGTTACTTATGTACCAGGATGGACCTGGCTGGTGCAGCGTGGTGGTTGTATTCGGCTCATGTCGTATGATTCTAGGTTGTCCTTATCCACGGGTTGTCGATTCCCTCTATCGTGTGGAAGAACATTGCACCAGTACTTGTAGAGCGTGGGTACCGTGTTATGCTCTACGGTAAGCCTACATCTCTTGTCATGACCGTCGTCGAACTTAACGTTGGTATACTCCTGTGCAGATCTGTATGGGCGAGGATATACTGATGCACCGAAAACTACATACGACACGAGACTGTACACCACCCAACTCGCCCTACTCATGCAGCACATACACTGGGACAGCGCGCATATAATCGGCCTTTCGATGGGAGGAGGCGTCGCAGCAGCGTTCACGGCCCAGTTTCCTCAGCTGACGTCGGGTAAGACCGTGCTGATAGCGTCGGCTGGCATCATTGACGTACGTTCACTCCTTTCCGTTTCATCTCTCACCTTATGGATACCATGATGCAATCATACGCCTTAGTCCTGGGACATACCAAAGACCGTGAAGTTCATGTCCTCGCCACTCGTACAAAGTTTATACAGCTTGGGACCATTCCAAGTACGTCATGACGTCCGCCACGTGGGCCCCGATTTCTGACGAGTTTGACAGCAATATATGCGCCGCTTAGCCAAGTCAAATGCCTCAGAGGCCGACGACGGTGGAAAGCTATCGGACGTAGACGAGGTGATGCAGGTATGTCGCTGGTGATTGCTGATCGACACTCTCATCCTGATATCATCGATCACAAGCTCGTACGTCTCCAATCCGCCCATCTTCCTTATTTCAACGCCGCAATCGCCTCAAGTCTGCGCGATGGCCCCATCCGTGGGCTTCATTCCGAACTCCGGACGCTTGGCGAGCGGAATACAGACGTCCTCCTCATCCATGTACGTTATCATCACCTTACAGCACTCGAGCACTCTGATAGAGGAACGATCCGACAGGGCACGGCAGATAAAACCGTGCCATACTCGTACGCATCTCGAATGTGTACACTAATCCCAAACGCGAAACTCGCCACCATACGAAACGGCGGCCACGAGATCACTCTCACGCATTCATCGTTCGTGAGCGACATGATTCTTGAGTTTTTGAAGACGAGTGAGGCATGATTAAACAATCACCATGCGATACCTCTGTTACTCCTACACAATTCTACATCTACAACTCACTCTCCCCGTACGCATTTCCACATGTAGCCTAACTCGCTTTACTCTTACCCTACCTCAGTCAATCTCGCTCTCGCGTTTAGTATTTCTAGATCTAATCTTGCTCTGCATCGCGCATGTATGCCTTCGCGATGGACTCAATATATTCACTCGCGCATCGGATAAATCACCTACGTTCCTTTCATCGCCGTGCCGAGGTACCCTTCTCTCTTTCTTTTCTTCGGGATTTGCTGCGTGAGCCAATCGGGCTGTAACAATACCAGGGAGCTTTTTCCTCTGCTCATACTCGGAAAATCGCAGCGGTGTGCGGGCGGGCCGGCGTGATCAACGTAGCGCGAGGGAAGAGCTCAAGGCACGCCGGCATAGCGGACGGATCCTCGGCGACATATGGCTCAGGGGTTTGGAGGGGCGGTTGGCACAGGAGAAGACCAGCGGGGTGACGAGTGTATGTCCGCATGCCCGCAGAATTGTATGGTTCGTCGTCAGTTGTGCTAAAGTCGTTCACACATCCGTTGCACATCTGGCGAGAATTTTCCTGCTCTGATGTGCGCGGCGGTAGCGAGCGTTTTTCCAGACTTCTGGGCGTGTCACAGGGTCTGGTTAGGGGTTTTTGGGAGCGTGGGGGAGTGCGGGGATGCGGAGATGCTATTGAGTTTCGCACGTGGTTTCAGCCACAAAAGGAAGGAGCAGCTATTTTCGCGCTCGTCCGTGCCTGGTTGACCTTCTGCAACGACCACCTGCGAGGACCATGTTATATGCGGCGTCTTTGCACTTTGTGTCAAGCATTCTGTGTCATATGTTTCCCTTGCTGCTGATCGATTTCCTTTGAATGGGCGGTTTCATCTCGGATATTCTCCTTCGGCATGAGCTTGGATACCTCGGATCTCTCTGGGCTTGGGCAGTTGGCTTTCTTTGTGGGCAGCCCCTTCACGCGTATCCTCCACCCAGGCAAATTTCAATGGCCGTGGATAATGAGCATCTCGCGATCTGACTGCTTTCTATCAGCCTGCTGGCTGCATGTCTGGTGCTCTCTGGCTTGTTTCGAGAATGTTTTTTACGACCGCCTTTAGTTTGTTTCGGGGTGCGTAACAACAAGGAATGGACGTGGGTACTAATTCGCCCTCAAGCTCTACCGCCGACGCGCTCTGATGATCTCTTGGTTACGTCTGCGAAAATGAAGAACGAGAAAAGCTTGACCTTGTTCCTTGTACTCGGCTCATCACGGGTCGTCTGTTCTTCTGCATACATTCTCCGTCCAGAACACTCACGCCCTCCTTCGCGGCGCTGGCTCTCGGTCCCTTGGAACTCTACCCTGCGCGGGGAAACAGGAGGGTTTACTCCGTCGCCGGTTTTTATCCGTACTGCTTTCTTGCTCTTTGTCTCCATAAACTTTGCACTATATAACGAGGCTGAAGATCACCAAATGCCATCATCGGTCAGTCACTTCTCCGAGCCTTCCAACTTCTGCATCACAGCAGCTTCAAAACAACCATGTTCCCCAAGTCAACCCTCCTTGCCTTCGCCTTCGCGGCAGCTACTTCTGCCCAGCAGATTGGTACCTCGACTGCCGAGACCCATCCTACCCTCACCTGGTCCCAGTGCACGTCCTCGGGCTGCACGACCGAGAGCTCTGGTAGCGTTGTCCTTGACGCTAACTGGCGCTGGCTGCACACCGTCGGCGGCTACACCAACTGCTACACCGGCAACGAATGGGACACCACCATCTGCACGTCCGCCGAAGTCTGCGCGGAGCAGTGCGCGCTTGACGGCGCGGACTACGAGGGCACCTACGGCATCACCACGTCCGGTGACGCGCTCACCCTCAAGTTCGTCACCCAGTCGTCGCAGAAGAACGTCGGCTCGCGTGTGTACCTCATGGCAGACGACACGCACTACCAGATGTTCAACCCCCTCAACCAGGAGTTCTCCTTCACCGTCGACGTCAGCCAGCTCCCGTGTGGCCTCAACGGCGCGCTCTACTTTTCGCAGATGGACGCGGACGGTGGTTTGTCCAAGTACTCCACCAACAAGGCCGGTGCTCAGTACGGCACCGGGTACTGCGACTCGCAGTGCCCACGTGATATCAAGTTCATCAACGGAGTAGTGAGTCCTTTCTTGGTTCTTTCGGTAGTTCATTGCTCGGGTTGCTGACGTAGCTTTTACCTCAGGCCAACCTCCAGAACTGGACGTCGACGTCGACCAACTCGGGCACGGGCTCCCTGGGCTCGTGCTGCAGCGAGATGGACGTCTGGGAGGCCAACTCGATCTCCGCGGCGTACACGCCTCACCCTTGCTCGGTCAACGGTCAGACGGAGTGCACGGGCGCCGACTGCGGCGGCGACTACGGCCGTTACGCGGGCGTGTGCGACCCCGACGGGTGCGACTTCAATTCGTACCGCATGGGCGATACCACCTTCTACGGCAGCGGCGAGACCGTCGACACCTCGCAGCCCTTCACGGTCGTCACCCAGTTCCTCACTTCCGACAACACCACCACCGGCACGCTCTCCGAGATCCGCCGCCTGTACGTGCAGAACGGCAAGGTCATCCAGAACTCGAACACGGACATCAGCGGCCTCTCGACGTACAACAGCATCACGGACGACTACTGCACCGCGCAGAAGACCGCGTTCGGCGACACCGACTCGTTCAGCTCGCACGGCGGCCTCGCCAAGATGGGCGACTCGTTCGCCGCCGGCGTCGTCCTCGTCCTGAGCGTGTGGGACGACTACGCCGCGCAGATGCTCTGGCTCGACTCCGACTACCCCACCACCGCCGACGCCAGCACGCCCGGTGTCGCTCGCGGCACGTGCGCCACGACATCCGGTGCTCCGGCCGACGTCGAGAGCTCGGCGGCCAACGCGCAGGTCATCTACTCGAACATCAAGTTCGGTGACATCGGCACTACCTACTCTGCTTAGATAGGTGAGCTTTATTCACTTCTCTGCCTTATCCTTCGCTAACTTGTCGTCTCTTTGCAGGTCATTGATGTTGCTTCGAGAGTTAGATCTAAGGGTTTCTTTGTTGCTGTTGATATCTATATTGGTATCTGTGATACCGAATTGTTTAGCTGATCTGGTGGTTATGTCTTGGTTCTGAAATTGGCGAAATCGGTTATAGTTATTGAGCTTGTATTATCCTACGAGTATTTAGAAAATGCAGATGTCATCATGGGAAACGGGTCGAGCCTGAGCTGGTTGAGGTTTCCGGAATTAATTTCGAAGTCTGCGAACTTGTCCCGCCATTGAAATGTAAAACGTTCGCCCTTTCTCGTGCCTCTCATGTCCCGCCCTCCTCTTATGGCAGCGAGACCTGCGCTACCCTCGCGTCTCTGGCGATTTGCTTCCATGCCAGGCCAAGAATGGCACTGACGTCCGTTGTGTTGTCCCGAATAACAGACAAATCAAGCAGACCTCGTCCTCAGCCTCGCAGGCAGCTTAATACCACCCAGCAGACCGAACCAAGTCCGACGACGCTTGCCCGCCGCCGTTCCACTTCCATACTTGGACTCGCTCGCCTGGACAGCGTCCAAGAACGACTGCAGCTCCCTCGTGACGACCCCGTGTACTGCGCTCGTAACATGCAGCCTGTCGGACCAGATCCGCCCGCCCGCCTTCGACGTGTCTGCGCTGCCGCCGCGAAAGCCGTGCGCGCGCGGGTCGTCGAGCACGCGCGTGAGGACGTCGTGTGCTGAGAAGAGGAGCACGGTTGTGTCACCCGGGTGGGCCTGCGCGAAATGCGAGGCTGAACAGGCGAGGAGAGTGTTCCATCGGATTGTGGCTGAATCGAAGCCGGGGGTTTTGGAGGCGACTGCGGCTGGCGGTCGGTAGAATGGATGAGCTCGGTGAAAGGAGGGAGTGGGAGAAGACGTACCGGATGCGGCTGGTGAGCGCTCCATGGGCGGGACGTCGATGAACAGGAAGTTGCGCGCGCCGGAAGTGTAGAGGGTTTCTTGGAGCTGCATGAGCGTGTCAATTTGGGTATTGAACTCGCCCCCGTAGCTAATTGGGTCAGCAGAGCCGAGGGAGCCGCGAAGTGAACAATGCGGAGCGTTCACTCACGCGCAGTCGTTGATGCCAATCCAGCTCACTGTTCCTCGCATCAGCCAGAGACACGCATCAAGCACCTACAAGCCATGACACACACCAAACAGCGTATCGTCGCTCGTCCACGGCGCCCACTCCGGCCGCTGCCCTACATCCCGCACGAACTCGTTCTCGACCTGCCTCCGCATTCCGCCAACCGTGTCTCCACCACTTGCGTAGTCGTACACGAGTTTGTGCGATTTCGTCTTCTTGCGGTACGACTGAATGAGGTGCCCCACCCAGTTCGGCTTGTCGCGCTCGTTGTACGTGCGTCCGGGGAACACAACTCCCAGCGGGTTCTTGTGCGTTGGGTGGGGCATGCTGGTGTCATAACCGACGGTGGAGTACGAATCTCCGCTGCATAAAGCGAAGGTGAGGTCGGTCAGTGGTTGGGAAGTTGAAAGAAGGGCGTACAAGATCACCAGGTGCTTGATTTGGTCTATGCCTGGCCAGTGCGCGCCGACCTGTAGAATTTTCGAGCCAGACATACCACAATGGATAATGAGTCGTTGGTAGAGAGATCAGAGGTTAAAGAACGGTATCCATCCTCGAGAAAGGGATACTCATTCTATTGGTTACATGTTGTGGTGAGGATTCGGTGTTGGATGCCGGGGGAACTTGTGTGGGAGGCGTGAGAAATTATGGGCGCTTGTTGGAAAGCCCCTGAGTGAACTATTCGCTACTGTCGTATGATGTGGATGATTCGATAGCGACTGTGGCGTTCTGCAATAAATACTGGATAGTGTGACTGGGAGTCCCAAATGAACTGTTTCGTACTAAATATCTTGTATCGTGTCTGGCTCCGCTTCATACAATTCACGATACCAACGTTCGACCTCGCCATCAAGCTAGCGCTCGCCATACGTCGCAAGTACTAGTTGAATTTGAAGAGACGGCGGTGCCTACGACTTACCAAACAAGTGGGCCATATTTCGGGGTGGCGTTCTTTCCATGACAGTTGTAAAAATCACCAGAATATCTTCAAAAAGGTGGCAAATAATCGTCTATACATATGACCAGACCGAAACGTATCAAATAAGCCTCCAGAGAAATCTCTCCTCCATGAAAGTTAGTTAGGCGCCTTGCCGACGAACGGGTTGAAGTTGTAGTAATCGCAGCCCGTTTGATTGACATACATCGAGCCGTATCCGTCGAACACTTTCGTGCCATCACGGCTCACCTCAATGTACGGAATCTGTGCGTCCTCGGTCGGGAACGGGACGTACCCCATGGAGAGGCCGGCGGGCGCGCTCCAGTTCGTCTCCTGCGAGCCAATAGCGAGAGTGAGGGTCGCAGGCGACCCGAGCATAGCGATCGCAAAGACGGCGTCGGCGGGGAAGTCGGCGTTGCGGGGGAGGCTGCCAGTGCTACAGGTCACGCCTTTGGGGTATGCGCGGTACCAAAAGACTACCTCCTCGTCCTACCCGGTAGTTAGCTCGCAAGTAAAACATAGAGAGTCACGACACATACCGAGATGGAAGGCTGGGCGCCGGTCTTGTACCACGAGATGTAGTACTGTGCCACATCACGCCAGGCCGCATGGACAAAGCCGTCAACATAGAGAGGTGCTTCTGTGCCGAGATTCACCTAGACCAAATTAAGTGAGCGGTGAACCGTCCTAGTGTCTTACGCTTATACTTACGTTGGGGTTGATATCACCAATGTAGTGCGATTCGGCGTAGTCGTTCCAGGTTACTATAAAAGCCATGAGGATGTATTTTATAGGAGCTATTCGTAGCGCACCAATCTCGACGATGTCAGGCTGGACCTCCAAGGCTTGTTGCCAGCGGTAGTCCCAGAGAGTGTCGCTGTACTCGACCCAATCCGTGTCTGAGCCAGCGTTGAGGTTCTTGAATTGCCAGGGGGACACAGCTGCAACGGATGAAGTCAGAACCTATCTAAGCGAGTCAAGAATGATTCGTACCCATGATGTAGGGTCCACCACGGGATTCAGCCGCGGCCTGGTACGCGACATCCGTTGCGGTGGTCAAGTTGGCATCAACATCAGCGGGCCAAGACCACCAGTTGAAGAATCCGTCAATAGACGGGAACGTAGACAGCAGCGTCGTATTCTCCGACGGATCGCGATACGACGTAAACGCGGGGGCAAACGTGATGTCGATGCCCTGGCCCGAAAGAGTGCTCTTCACGCCCGACCAGAACGAGTCGCCGTAGCTCTCGCCGGAGTAGCTTGACACAAGAAGGTTGTTGTTATCGCCGTAGCGGAACGCGCTCGAGCTTGATGCGTAGCTCGCAACGACGCTGGCAATCGTGGCGGCGTCCCACGTGTAGGACATGTCAAATGAATAGAACAGCTGGAAGCCAACCTGTTCCGCCGCCGCGTATGCGTACCCGAGCTGAGGGTCGATCTCGTAATCAGTTCCGTTGGCTATATTTAAAGCTACACGTATAACAGATGGTGAGCCTCGACCTCGAGTCCGTTGGCAGTTATTACACCAACTACGTACCAAAACCGTCGATGCCAATATTCTTGGCAGTTGTCATGTCGTTCACCCAGTCGCTTTGCGCGTAAGAGTAGGAGTTTTGAGCCTAACGGAAGAGACGAACCCTTCTGATTTGGCGTTGCAGGCCCCCAAAAGCAGGAAAGTACCCACCATGAAATGCGCAAAGACATATTTGGCACTCGCCGCATTTGCCATGCAGAGAACGGCGGCGACAGTCAGAGTCGCGAGAGGAAACATGTTCAGTGTCAAAGTTGCTAGCACCAGTGAGGAAGAGGCCGCGATGTTGGTCAAAGGGCCGCCTACCGAGGCTTTATATACGCCCGCATGCTAAGCTTGACCGAGATTACTGGGATTGAATCTTGCAAAGTGGCATATGGTTCGATTCCATTCTATGAGGTGGCATATCAGATGGTCTCGGTCTCTGTGAGAGAAATACGACGATTCACCAGCAAACGCAGCATGGCTCTGCCAGGGGCAGACTCAAGAGCATCATGACGAGGCAATTCAGTCGACGGGGCCTGTCCGTACCTGATAGCTATTAATACGCTGCCTGGGTGATCTAGCTCAGCTGATGAGCTGAAGCTGTGAACGCGGTACTAAATTAATGTGACTTCGACATGGTACAAGCTCATAGGTTTATTATCTATCGAAGCTTTCAAAAAATCGATCAGTCACGACGATTGGGCATGTAAACTATATAAAATGTCATGCATTCCCCTAACTCCTGTAGTCTGTAACTTTCAACTTCTGCTGAGATTACACGGAGGCGTTGTTGTCAATGAATATTGCGTGCCCTTGGTTCACATCTAACCCAGTAGGTTTCGGCGGTTCAACGGATTCATGAGACTCGACCTCGACAAAGACCTGATTAGAACTGGTTAGTCGCTAATTCACACATAATGACAGAGCTTACACAGGGTTTCGCGTGATCCATGCCTCTCGGAACTCGTTGCATCTTAAAAGCATTGGACTGTGATTAATTTTGTGACGAGTAAACAATGAAAACGACCTAAGACATTATTTTATGCTGACTTACCAGTGACCTTTCTGTGCTGCGGTCGTTCCATGAATTCGCATTGGAGTCGGACATATCCTTCAAGTATACCCTTGCGTTCAGCGTTGACATGAGGCAGTTTGAATAGAGACTGCCAAGCATGTAATTAAATATCAAATGACTGGTGCTGTGGCATCAGCGTTTGAGCTACGGATGTCTAAAAATTGCGTACATTCCACCAGTCTATTAAAGATGTTTAGCAGAAATTGATATTGTTCAAAGCAAAGGTAACGTGGACATACCGAACTTAAGAAGAGAATCATGTGGACCGTCGCCCAAATAGCGGTGATCATTCCAGTCTGTACAGTGACTTTGCAAAACTGCTGTATAAGCAACGTACGTAAACAATATAAAGAAACCTACGGGCAATGATCCGGTCGATGACCGTGTCACTCCAAATAAAACCTTGCTTATGCTTGTTCTGTGAGCCTATGTGTCAGTGATTCCAATGTCGATATTAAAGGAGAAAAAACGAACGAGGTAATATACCAAAGAGGCCGTGATAATAACATCACAAATGACAGCGCTAGCAAGCCACAAAACAACTACCTCCTCAAATTTTTGAAAATCCTGGAACTCGGGAACGAATCTACATGCAACAGCTGTTCCAATTGCGCTCACTATCATCATAAGTTCGCTTCACATTGGTCAATGTAACGCAATAAAGAACGCACATGCTTCTACGAACGCGAAGAAAAGTATGATAGCAGCCGTCCAAGTCTTTCCTGTCAAGCGTTTGACTCGCCATGCCAGGAAAGCTTGGACTATGCCGCCTGTGATACCCTGATTTGGTAAGGATTACATACATGACCCACTAGAATACTAACGACTCACATTAATCGCGGGATCCACATCGAAAACTTGAAAGAGAAAACGAGTTAATAATTCAAAAGAGTCGCAACTAGGTAGACATACCCCAATTTGCCTTTGCTAAGTATTCCACATCGCCTTCTCGCCGTCGTTAGCTGTGTCTCACTAGGTCCTTGGCGATAAACATACCAAAGTGAATGATCAGATAGTCGTAGAGGTAAACCATGTCAAAGACAGCTCTAATCGTGTCGAGAGCAAGGAGCATATAGACCTGTCAAGTCCAGTCAACTTCATAGTGCGACGAATGCAATGATCCATGCTGAAAGTATCACGATTGTTTTGATGAACTTGTTATCCCTGTTTTCGCTGTGAGAGTGCGGCTCGCTCATCAAGGCGGTGGACCGACTTTTTAAATGTTGTATAATAGAAGAGAAATTGGGTGCACCGTATACCATAGAAAATGAGATTCAACATGATGCCGAGGAGGCTCGGACCGAGTCTGAATATTTAAGTCAGCAATACTGGTATAGACAGAACAAGTCCAATGACCCACGCATCCGCTGCTGGGCTTGGCATGTAACTGGTGCAGGTATAAGGCGAAAAACAAGTAATTATCTGGACTATGAGCTGTGAGATGAAATGGAAAGAATGTAAGCTAGGGAAAGTTACTGTACATGCAGGTGTGAGGTGTAGCCTTGGATGAATCTGCAACACTGATCTTTAAGTGAGGAGTCGAGCTATTTATCATGTGGCATAACCTGAAATGTATAGTATATTTTCCGGTGGCTCAAGTAGCGGCCGAAAACAACTTCCATTGTTCCTGGTATTTTGATGCGCTGTATCTGCGTGTGCACAAGACCTGATTAAAAGAATCAGCGTTGCTCAGGATAACGTCAAATACCTCAGCGGGCGTGATGATCTTGATGTGGACGCAAGTATTATCGGATGACAGTCGAGTACTTGATCGGTGTGTTTGAATCAACAGCTTCTTTAGCCCAGAAATCTGTACAGGTTTCCTCAGATCTAAAGATACATATGCTTTCCTTGCTGGATATCCAATATAAGGTGCTTGATCAAGATGGGGGAGCGGCCATCATAAAATGCAAGTGTCCAATTGCACACACGATGCAATTTTTGCCCATCAGAGAACCATTTCGGCATCGTTGATCTGTTACTGCTTTCCATGGGGTTGATCAAGACGCCGTCTTTGTTACCAGCTTGTTTGGACAAAAGTCAGGCGCGTTATGGCCCTAGAATGAAGATATGCTGTACATGTACGCGAGGTGCTTGTGGAAACGGTGATGCTCGGTGATGAGTACCAGGAGACTCCCGGAGGCGTGAGGATTGGAGGAAGTAGTATGATCTAATGCATTCGACACGCGCACGGAACCAGTTTTCTGGTGTGCATCAGCTTTGTAGGGAATTGGATATCGAAGCTATGAGGGGTACTTGCTTGGTACTTGCCGAATTGACCACCTTCTATTCAGCCCACCGCCTTACCTCCAAAGACAGCTGAATAGGAACCCGCTCTTTCCCACGCCATCCTCCGAGTTTCCATCACGCGGGCAGTATGCCACCAGTCCGACGTTTAATGCATGTCACGTTCCTTGCGGACGGATACCATTATGTCCATTCACTTGAACGTTTAAGTCTGGGGACTCATTGGTCAATGATCATTGTCTAACTCAGATGTCTGACTTCAAATTTCTGCAGGCTGGTGGGGTATTAACTAGGTCAAGCGCTCAGTGGTGCAATATCAGCAGCGTGAACCTGACGCGTGAATTCGCTGCGCGGTTCTTCTATAATCAATAACGCATGGTAAGGGGGAAGTAGCTCGCTAAGATGAATTACTGTACGTCATACCCACCATTTTATCACCATCATAAACTCACTCGAGAATGACGGTGAATAGCTAGACGGAGTGCTGCCTCAATGTTCCACGTGACCAGCCTTTACAGAGTCGCTGACATTGTGGATGTTTGCGAGAACGCTTGGTAATGTAGAATTCTGCATAATGGGCTGATCAGTTTACCAACGTACACTAAACAAGAAATTGCGTGTATAAAGCAACCTAGTTTTCGAATAGAACAAGAAATGCCTCCGCTATGCTCTGGTATTCAAATAGAAGCTGATCTAGTTTCATGTTAGCCTCATACAAAATTATGATAACGAGTAGATGGGGTGAGCGCCTGATGCTACTTAGCGTAAGAGTCAGCCCCGTGTTTAAGCAAAATGGCACGAGTACAGTTCGAAATGAATGAATCTAGGCTTCAGGGCCAGCAGCTGCATTACCAGCGACGCGCTATAGCCCGTTCCCGTTGGTTTGTATATCCTACTATTGAAAGCTTGTACTCGAACAATAGTGTTTCAACGACTCAGATGATCTCCTCGTCTTTCGTTCATGATCGGACGAGACTAACATTCAGTAGTTCATCGGAAGCGCGTGCGGCAGTCCATTTAAAGTCATTTTCTAGGTCTAACATTCAATTATCGTTCGCAAGTGAGGGAGCCGCGCATGAGTACATGAGACTGCGAGCCAAACGGCGCCTAAAGCTGATGCAACACTTGGAGCTCCCCATCAAGTCGCATGTCAACGCATGTGGTATGAGCGCGAACATGACGTCGTGTTAACATTTTTGTGATGTGTAAGTACATTGAGCGAGTAAGATTCAAGGCTTAATGTCTTTCACTTCATCAGCATCCAAAGTAGAAGAAGAGCCCCTCGTCTTGAGATTGTAGTTGTGTATGCATGTCCTGAAGACGTTGTTAGCATATGTCCTCAGCTATCCTCTGTTGATGGGAAACCCACAGAGATATTACACTCGAAATGGCGCCGATAGGTACGCCAATGAGAAACACTTGGTCGAGAGTCTTTACATATGCCTGTACCACAGCAGCTTGCTCATTGGCAGGAAGAGTAAAAATGTTTGATATGCTTTGCTGCACGCTCACTGCCACTGAAGGTGGCAGAGAAGGGGCGTATTGGTGCAGATTCACTTTGAGCTGATTGAGAAACACGGAACCAGCAATCCTGTGAAAATAGAGTGGTAAGAGTTGTTAATGGTAAGACTGATCTCAGGTCTCCGTAACTTACGCGAGACCAACGATGGCGCCGAGATTCTCTACGAGGCTACTCATACCTGCCGCCCGTGGAATAAGCTCTTCTTCGTAGGCTAGTTCAGACTACATCAGAGTCCGTCAGGTTTTATTCCCATGTTCAGCAACAAATTAAAAGATATACCTGTATGGATATATCAGGCATTTGGAGTGCACATCCTGTTTTCATAGTTCACGTTAGATAGCAGGCAGGCGGAGGAGGCGTTCGCATCTCACCAATTCCAATGCCACTAATGATCTGATAGCCGATTAGCTTCCCTTCGGAGGAACCGACTCCCACCGTGTACATTAGTCCAGATCCGATAGAGTATAGGAGAGGGGAAACGACCATGATACTAAGACATGTATGAGGTTTCAGTTTTAGTTTTAGAGCATGTTGGACTTACGGCCAGTATCTTCCTGTGGCGTTTGCGTAGGCTCCTGTCACAATGGACGCTATTCAGGATATCGTTAGTTGACGAAGGACGCTAGAAGCTTGATAAGGCTTCACCGATAACGAGCGACAGGAGAAACGGAAGGATACTAATGCCAGACTGAATCGGACTGCGCCCCTGTGACTGGTACCAAAGTGGAATATAGTACTATCATATGGTTCAGCGATTGTAGATCGGTGATTATGAGTGGAGCAGTATCATACTTACAATACCAACGTTCACAGCATAAAAGTCACAGAAGGCGATGAAGCACGCTCCAATGAGGGGTCGTCGAATGACAGACTTTGGAAGCAGCGCACGATCCCCCACATAGTGCTGCCACCCAAGAAAAAGGATAAACCCGACCCCAGATAGAACAAGGGGGATAATGACATGGGAAGAGCCCCATGAATACGTGTTTCCCCCAAATTGCAAAGGGAATAGAAATGCAACAAAACTGCCGGAAGATATGAGGAACCCCAGCCAGTCAATCCTTGCGGAAATTGATGAGATATATGAATACTTAGGGAACAACGTAAGCTCACTCCTTGAATTTTTGAAATGTTGACTTAGCCACAGCGGAGTTGTTGCTAGGTGCCTTGATGTATGGCATGAAGTACGATATCAGAAGTGACAGTGCCCCAATCTAGTCAAACATAAGCCCTAGTCATATAACAAGGGAATAATATTACGGGGAGGTTCACTAGGGCGTCAGTCAGATACGCTGACAATTATATCGAAAACCACAAGCTCACTGTAAAAGCACCACCTCCAGGTTACTCTCTCTGTGATCCTGTCGTCAATATTATATCATTTTTGAGATTTTGGGGTGTACTTCACCTGCAAATGCACCACCAACTAACGGTCCCATCACTGACGCGATTGCGAATACCACACTGATGGCTCCGAACAGGGCTGGCCGAATTTCAAGACGAGCAATCTAGACATTTTAGCTACTAGTATGGTAACTTTATGGTACCGTACGTACCTGTGCAATGGTAGAAATCACGCATATCAGAATCCTAAGGTTTGTTTAGCCAAGTTATAACGTGTGCGTGGTAATCATTACTGACGCAGTTGCACCAATCCCTGCAACAGCCCGACCAATAATCAAGAAATTCATTGAGTTAGCGACCGCGCAAAGAAGACTTCCTAGTTCGAAGATCACAATGGAAGCGATGTATACAAACTTGGTCGGAAAGATGGTGAGTAGCTGGCCCACAGGAAGCGTAAATGCCGTCATCGTGAGTAAGTCTAATAAGTGGTGGCGCTTAGCTCGGATATTGGAGCAGAATATTTCGCTTACACGCTGTAGGGACCCTGGAAAGGTTCAGCGCAAAGGCGAAGTAGAACAGGGGGAAGCGTACCATGTAACCTGCCTCAAGGCATCGAATTCAGATACTATTGTGGGTAGAGCAGTACTGACAATTGTCATATCTGGTAAAATTAGGGGGCGAAATAGCCATTAAATGCCAGAGACACAGGAGAACACGACATACCTAAGGACGAAAGAAGAAGCGAAAGCATAAGACCGCTTTCCGTGGTTCAGATACACTGATCCCCTTGAATCAATCCGAGAGCTCACAAAGTAGCAACGAGAAGCTCCTTCCCGGAAAGATACCGCTCAGAAATGCCGTCCTGTGGGGTGCATTCTACGTTGAGTTTGTTTACTTCTCCAGCAGCGTCCCTTGTACTCTGAACTGCGATCGCGTCTGCTTCTAGGGCGCCAATGGAAGGCAAGTCTAGTTGAATGGACGTGTCGAGGGACATATTGTCTGAAGCAATGGGAGGAAGGGGGTGAATGTTTAATGGGGGCAAAAGCCGAAGCTCAAGCTGTAGTGAGTACGTGAGTCCCGGTTTGGTCCAGGTGAGGGGATAACGTCTATAACGGGCATTGAATATTGATGCAGATGGGCATAAAATCGGAGCTTCAGTAAAATGAAAGAAGACCGTGTGCGCGTGTACTGATACAAAAATAGAAGATAGTGAGATCGAGATGGGATCGAGTACGTAAGTATTGGATTGTCTCGACCCGTGGAATACTACTGCACTTTTACGGCCAAAGGCTCGCGGGGAGGCGTGAGAATACGAATATCACAAGCGTAATGTCACAAAACAAGTCCGTCGGTGGCGTGGTCTATGACAAGATGTTCGTTGGGTATCTCGGGTAAGCATTTTCTCGGTGTGTGGTCAGAGGAGGACTAAGGAAGATTCGGAACGTTCAACCACTCCATTGACTCCCTCACCAGCCCAGCCGCCCCCAAACTCCTTCGCGACGTCTCGCTCACCGATCCTGAGGCCTGAGGTCTGGGATCGGATCTCGGCAGCCCATCATCAAGACCAACATGAGGATCCAGGTTGCTGTTAGTGTTGCCGCGGTTCGGGCGGCCAACGGTTTGGAACCGTGAACCGAACCAAGGATGCCCTCGGTTCCGTCCGAGTTGGTTTCCAGGGACAAGCAGTTCCCCGAACCTAGTTTCGGTCCGTAGACCAGTTCGAACCCCATAACAAGGACAACAAAATCTATAATGAATTTGTAGTAGAAGTATACTAATATCACGACTGTGGTCCCGAGCACAATGAATGTGCATCAGGTGCAAAAGTGCTGCTTACAAGAGAAACTCGCCTTTAACAGTCCTTGTATTAACAGAGCCTGCGTAATTCAGCATCAATGGTACTGTCTGACCTGTTATGTCTGGGATATCCCTGAAGATGCATCTTGAACATGACATAGCTGACCCGCAGACCCAAAGATGCAGCAGTGGGCTGCCCAGGTCAGTGGAGAAGGCCGAAGGTTGACTACAATTACGTCAATAAAATCATAAGCGAAATCAAAGCTAAAAGGTTTCCATGGCATCTTGGCTCCCAGGGGTTCCAAACCGAGAACTCACCCTCTGAAACCCTAACAAATGGTTTAGTCCTTGAAACCGAACCATGTTTGCCAAAAAACCGGTCCCTATGGGACTGGTCCCGGTTATACGAACTGCGGCAACACTAGTTGCTGTGGAGCCTTTCTCCGCCGAGCCAGCCTTTGATGGCAATTCGTGGGTGGAGCCTGCGGATCTTTTCCAGAGGATCCTCTAGGATCTTCCACCCCGAGGTGCCCGCTAAAGCCAGCTACCACAACACGGTCCCAGATCTCACGCAAAAAGCTGACTCGGAGTCTTCTGGTTGGCGCAAATGTCGCAGATCAACGAACAAGAAGTGCGATAACTTCTTAGCTCGTTAGATACGGTCACGCGCTGGTTATAGTACATTATAGCAATTTGATCCCAATTTTGCACTAATTTATACGATGTCACGAAATGGTTCGCGAGCGGTCAATTCTGGTGGGACAGTCACGATGAAAAGTTTGCTCGTCAGGCCTCAGGTTGGGCGTGACCCGTGACGAAATGTTGGTCGTAAAGTTACAGTATTGCCGTGAGGCTAGATCCTATTGGTGCATTGAAATCAGAAAATCCAGCCAATGGGAGCTCAAGAAAATAATCCACAGAGGCTGGTGCACACGGAAGCTTATCAGTTTCACGCTGTGATTTCCACGCAGTCAGAGTCAACGTACCCTAACAGTGGCCGCATCTTTGCGAGACCAGGTACCAAGATCAATTGAAATATTAATGTATTTATACGGTCAGAATAAAATCGCTGTCATTACCTTTGCTCTGATCGGCGAAGTCGCCGCCCAACGCATGGGAGAGACACGCCTAGCTGCTATCTCTTGCCGTACAGATCGCGATTCTGTCCAAGGTATAGAACATCCACCACACTCGCTTTACTCGCATGGGAAGATGAGACACAAGCAAATCGACAACGACAAATGTAGTGTCTAGTTGCATGGGCACTTGATGTGCAGCCATGATGACATCTGTGGACATCAGCACATGCGCTGAACATAGAACATGCACCTATCTTCAGCAGAAGGACTATAATGCTTGCTCGACAACAATGTTTTAAGTCCGCATTAGAGTCTATTGGCCCACACAGTTTCGCTCACTAGTTCTTACATCCCCGGGTGTCGTTTCCAACCCCTCATAGGCCAGAAGTGCAGCCATTTACGAGACTGAATGTCACTTGGAGTGACCATTTCTTTAAGACTTGAGTGGTTCTCCATAAAACATGTATAACCTAGCAACACCCTCATTGTGTAACTATGGCCAACAAAAGCTGGTCCGCTCTAACTCTTCTGTTCTGTGAGATTATTATACATATCCGCAGCTGCATATACCGCCGTCCAGTTTCTGCACACGTAATTCGACCTAGAGTCGACCGTGCTAGTTAAGTAGCCAAATATTAGCAGTTTAATAACGCATATCCCGTCATTGACTCACTGACGACCAAAGAATGGTGTGATGGCAGGTTCAAGTTTGGTATCGGAGAGACATAGTAGCGACTGCCTCAAATAATTCAGGCAATGTCTACTGAGGTGAGTCTCTCCCAATCGCTTCGCGTATGCCTCTCTGATGGCTTCGATGCATCGAATTTGGTGAAAGAGAGCAACAGTATGAGGGACGTTCTCGCCATGACCGTTGGGACCATCCCACGGTACAGAGACAGTGTGTCTTCCGGACGGTAGCATCGCAAGGAACTCGATAGATGATTGCGTTTCATTGACCTGTAAGCGGGCGCTGTTGTGGATTGACATTGCCACCGCACGACTGTGAGCAACACTGTCAGTAAGGTGGTAACATGCCGGTTTGAATGGTGATACTAAAACACTAATGAGTTGAGAGTCAGAGAAGATGGAAAATCGACTGACGAGAGCAGCCGTAGGGCTGCGCAGATTGAGAGTACGAGCGTGTGTTTCTTGCATAAATCGAGAGGAAGACGATTAATAGTCCAACAGCAATAGATGTGATCGCTCGCCTAGCTGTAGCCCCAGTGCAGTATGTCATGGCGTCTCCAGAGCAAGTACAAGGGCAAGGTGTGGCTTCGCTCTGCAAGTTATTTCGGTGTTGTGTCGGAACTTTTAGTAGATGTCACAACTCGGGTTATTAAGACCCCTAGTAGCGATTCAAAGCCGCTTACTACGGGTCATCTTCCTGTGCATGTGAATATCCACAGAGATATCACAAGATAACTGTTGCACATCAATCCAAGAAGCAACCATACAGAATATCTAGATAAGAAAAGATTACTCGTATCTTCAATATTTCTGCCCGCTTTTGTTTGGTTTTTTGTTTGTGCTCTTGATCAGATCCCCTTGAGATCAGATTTGCTCTCGATTCGGATATCCTCAACCATTTTGGGCCGTACTCCCGTTGATAAGATAATGGTCCCTGAGCTGGCGCTTTGTTCGTCGCCATCCTTTCCTCCCCTCCTCCTTCCCCTCCCCATTTTCGCACCATGGGTCTTCGCAGTCGCACGATTGGTATGTCGTCCAAGTCCTCTAATTTTTACACACGCTTATTTCAGCCCCGCCAGGACTACAGAGTAGGGCTTTCAGTGCGTACCATATCTATCGCTTTTTGGCCACCAGCTCACGAAAGCATGCTCCCAGGTGGCGATAGCACTCTTCTCGACTCCACTTGATGTTCTCGAAGAACACCTTGCCTCCATCCAATTCTACTCCAGCTTGCTCGTGATTCTCCCCATCGTTGCATCCGATGCAGGGTTCGCAGGTACGCTCTCTCGCTCAAACACCATTCCCCACTGACGAAAATGACCATCACAGACACCCATGGGCTCATGTTCGGCCACGGTCAGCTCGTTCCCTGCCGCCCGGCGAGCCCTATCTCATCCCTGGCACCTTGGCCAGTCTGAACCGGCAAGCCGCGTTCAGCAAGCTCACACCAAGGTACGCTCTCTCACTCGAGGAGCACCAAGCTCGCCGCCTGTAAACACGTGTTCGACCACGGCCAGTTCAGGCTCTCGATACCCGCAGCGCCCTCTTTCCCCCGGTCTCCTTGCACTGCCCATTGATGGTTGGGCTCGAATAGATCCCTCGCTCCCTTTTCCCCCGTCTGAACATGCGAATCGGTGCGTGAACGTGCTGCGCACTCAGGCATACAATTCGTCACAACGTGCTGACCCCGTTCATCCGCGCGCCGCGCCCCCAGGTTTTGCAGTTCGCTTTCAGCGACCCAGGAATGCATTCCTACCTGCGAGGCGCTAATGAGCGACACAGTTAGCAGTGTCGGCGACATGGTGGAACGTTGGCGTAGCAGTAGTACAGCGACTCGCACGTGAGTCGGCCAGTATCTTTCGAACGTTTGATTATCATCGCGCATCGCACCCCGGGAGTTCTTCGTCCTTTCCGTCGAACTCCCAGGTGCGTCTCAGTGTATTCAATCGTCTATACATAGCTCAATAGACTGTCCTTTCCGTCGAACTCCCAGATCTTGCGTCGGCGCCGCTCCTGCCGATCGTGAGGCGCAAAAGTGTCTATCAATGCACCCCTGCACGGAACACATTCTGGGGCGCATCATCGGTGACCAGCCTGGGCACAGGCCTTTTATAACGGGAAAAGGAGGCTGACGCGAGACTTAAGACTCGCACTGGCGAGACGCTGGGTTCGTCGCTCACGCTCACGCTCGCGTCTCGCCAGAGTTTCCCCAGCTTCGAGCCTCATATCTCTACAACTACGTCTATGCTTATCTCTGTTGCACTATGATTTATCTACTATTTTACTTGCCACACCAGCATTTGATGCTACGAACCGCTGCATACACGCACCACCTGAGTTTTCGGCCTAGATGGTAGCCGCGGCATTGTCCGCTTCAGCTTCAGGCAGAATTAACGTGATTAACGTGATGTACTACGACTCTCGCACCTTCCTTCATGGTACACCCTCGCCCTATCTTCCTACCTGTGTCCTATTGAACTCAAAGGTGCGGGCCCATCTTTGTGCTATGTGATCATGGTCTGTTGCCCGTTGTGTGTAGATAGTTAACTGTTACTTCTTCAAATCGTTGAATGCATGTATATGTGTACTCTGTCAGATTAATGAGTCTAACCCCGGCATTTACTTCGGTTGAGATGCTCTGCTGATGGTACCTATTCCTGAATCCCATCAATATCCCAATGAAAGATCATGCTGCCGACAAAGGTTAATAGATCTGAAGGGATAGATCTGAAGGTTCAGAAAACCTTAAATAGGTTTTTGTTCGTTTGATACATCACGGTTGCAAAGTGCAAGCCCTTATGACAGGTCCGACCGACTTGCCGAAACAGGGGAGGACAACTATCAATATTGGAAAACTCATGGAGCAGATGAGATTCGATTGCATAGCACCGTGACGTGGTAGGCCGTGCCAGTCGGTCTAGAACCTGTCTGATTCTCTCACATGTAGCAGACAACAGTTCGTAGTACGTGCTCTGATTTTCACGTCTTCGCCCATCAATTGTGCCGTAGCGGAGCACGGCATGTCTTGTGGAGCTCATAGATTTGATCCTCAGGGCCGCTGGTTGTCCACTGTCAGTGTCTGAACGGCGAATCATGTACATGATCATTAATCATCGGTATAGTTTGAGGTACGGCATTGTGGGTATAGATTCTGATGTTCCTGGCCGTGTGAGAAACAGAAAGTTCATGAGTATCACCAAAACCTTGATGATGAATCCAGAATTCGTATGCATTGGTATGGCAATGCAGCATCATGATCCGTAATCTCGTAATACCTTTCTAATAAATGTTGTAGATTAGCAAATCTGATAGAAGAACGAGACAGCGATGGACATTGTTAAGTTGGTCGTCGAACTGTACTCAGTGCCAATTACACGCTACCCCCCCACTAAAGAAAGCTCAATTAGGTCTTTCAACATAAGGCAATGTTTCAAGCTCTCTTAACAATGGGTCCCTCAGCATTCAACTATGCCGATTTATCCAATGAGTCTGACGAAGACAGTGAGTGGACCCAGATAACCGTCTCATCTCACACGCTAACAGTACCATTACATCTAGTCGAATCTACATTATATAGCAATAGGAAGAAACAACCTGATAATCAGAAGCAGTGGCTGTGGTTCCTGTTCGCTGGTGTGGTAGTCAGCATTTCCTTCAGCATCTTCAACACATTCCTGCTTGTTCGCGGCTTTTCGTCATCACAAGACATATGGGCATCTGCAGATAACTTTGCTGGTGTCCCTCTACTGCGCCCCAACCAATTCTTTGGGCTCGACAAGATAGATCGAAATCGATCGGGTTTCTCGACTCCACGCCCGTTCATGAATCGTGTCTCGTTGTTAACGCAAGTGAGCATCAACCATCCCGACTACGTTTATCCCGATGGTCAGAGGGAGTGGTTCTCTTCGATCAGAGGTACAATTAGCCCGTTACACAAGCCCTTTGTCGTAAACAAGGAGGTTAGCATGTGCTCTTAGAGTCCTGTACACTTTAATTCACTGTTTTTATTCTCTACAGACATCCACTATTGCCCAGTTCCGCGCCCTCGATTATGGTATGGAACGGTGCCAAGTGACCGTGAGAATCTCGTCTCGGGACGTCCTCGAGAGCGAGGCGGATCCGCGTGCACGTTTCAACCGCACCTTCACCTCTTTTAGGGATGAGCCTGTTAATATTGCTGTTTACGAGCTAATAACAGACCAACCTCTCGACGTTCAGAGCCTCTCATGGAAAACAAAACCCGAAAGGGGTCAGCTTCTCGGCACGCTCCTTGTTGGAGAAGGCATAGACTCGGAGCTACATATACGGGAATGTCTACAAGAGTCATTGCAGACATTCGAGTTTGCTTGTGAAGAGGAGCTTGAAGAAGCATGCGCAGCTGAGTGGTGGCAAGATGAACGCGAAAGTCTCGGTGGGTAGGCGATGTTATAACGGAGAGTTATCTTGCTGATAAAGTACCTAGGTGTCTTCTTACGTCAAAGTTCCTCCCTACCAGAATGGGGGAGCGTTGTGCCTCAGAAATTCACGAGCAGCTGAGTATGGGGGGCAGAAAGAGGTGGCCAGAATGGATGGGTGATCGCGGGGAACGAGAACGATGTCGAGCCGTCGTTACAGCGGTTTTAGTAGTTCATACTCCAGTTAAATACCAATGGTTCAACGTTGTCAGCGTTCAACGTTCATCGATCATCTTTCGTCTCGCGACTAGTACTCAGGGGTGGTAACTCACTAGCTACAAAAAATGCTCGCTGTAGAAGCACATGCACAGACATGCACTCGAAAAGTTGAAACCTTGACTTACACATGTATTCCATCTAGTCCTACGCAAATGGAAGCAGGACGCCCTTCACTAATATGTGATCATGATCCATACACATGCAAGACACAGTTTTTTATGCCATGTCTCGTATGGTGTGTAAACTCCGGTCAGAAATTGTGGGCTATATCTGGAAGTGAGGCCTGAGGGCCGTGACAAACCTATGTGCTCAGTGTCTATAAATACATTGCCATCGGCGATTCTTCTTTCAATACCCCAAAGGTGTCGAGAATATACATACTTCAGTGTCCAGTCTTTATTCAGATAATCAAGGTTGGGCTTCTTTGATAAAATGGGTGCCGAGTGTTCATTACTGGGTACTGGATCTATCCGTCTGAGTCGGTGATTACAAATCATTTGGTACTGAGTTTGACTGAAGATTGTATCATTGATTGCGATCGCTTTCCCAGAAACAGAGAACCAAGTTCTATCGTACATACTGTAGCATATGCACGTGGTTACAGTATGGCTGTGAGCTACCTGACTACATCGTATTTTGATGAAAGACATTCCGATCGAGAAAGAAAACTATTTGGGGAAGAAGCAAAGATATATACACATTTACTGCGATGTAACATTAGCAGATTACAGCATGATCAAACGGTGCCTTCAACACCACGGCGGAAATTGTTGTCGGTTTCCTCACCACCGCGGCGGAAGTTATTGTCAGTCTCCTCTCCATCACGACGGAAATTGTTATCGGTCTCCTCACCACCGCGGCGGAAGTTATTGTCAACCTCCTCTCCACCGCGACGGAAATTGTTGTCGGTTTCCTCCTCGCTGCGACGGAAGTTGTTATCAGTCTCTTCACCACCACGGCGGAAATTGTTATCGGTCTCCTCTCCTCCGCGACGGAAGTTGTTGTCCGTTTCTTCGCCGCCGCGAGATACGAAGTTGATGTTAGTATCACGACGAAAGACAGCCTCGTTATAGTCAATGGCACGATGATAGAGTCCTTGAGCATCTATTACGACTCAATAGTATCAGGAACGTGAAAAGGCCTGTCCACCATAAATCAAGCACTCACCAGAGCTACGGGCAGGTAAAGTAGCAGCCTGCACGAGGATGCTGGCACAAAGAACAATAGCAACGGAAAATGTGTGCATGTCGAATTAAATCAAGTGTGGTACAAGGTGAAGGCCTAGCACTGATGTGAAGGAGTTATGGAGAAGCTGACTCTCGTGATTCAATACGATATTCTTGTGGAATGAATTATAGGTAAAGGACGAACCTGTCTTTTATATGTGGCCCTTATTCCTTTGGGAATAACATCCTTTGCCGTCGGGAATACACACGTACATAAAGAGCACCATCAGTAACTTCATGCAAGCAAAACAGCATGCCAGATCGCGTTCAAGCATCGCAACTTTGAAATTTGAGCGTCACCAAGAATAATTTTCTGATGTGATCCTCTCGGAAATCATAACCGTGCCAAAATCATGCGGTAAAGCTGCTATTAGCGATCATGTTCTAAAAATGCATCATCTGTTAAATTTCTTCCTCATCCAGCCTACCATAGCGGCTCTATGGGAACTGGTAGGCAGCTGCCAATGAGAGCATCCTGTCATTCTATTTCATTTCACTGTCTGGCTCCGAGGGAGTTGCCAAAGCTTACATTTTTATCAAGTGATTTTAGGTAACTAGAATTATTATCATGACTTCGGATTCCACACGGTATGTCTCCTATTAGGTACCTTTTGGATGATTCTTTCGCTGACAAGAAATACGGCGATCTCGCCATCAAGGGAAGCTGGACACAGCCGTTGTTGACGGATATTAACGATACTTTGGCCCAGGGCCGAGGGACAGGAAACAAAAGAGCCTCGGGTTCGCATGCACAATCTTGTAGTCTGCAACTGGCAAAAACAATTACTCAAAGCCCGGTTTTTTCGACTCACTGGGATATCTCAGAACGAGCTTCACAGCTGTAGTGACGGGGTTTGCATTTATTTTAGGGGAAGTACAGATCCGTTCTCGGTGACTTTTTGTGCGCGTGAGTGAGATGAAGTACATATTAGTATCCAGGTCATTAGCACGTCTACACACGAAGTGTCATGAGCTGCAGTGCTTAGCACTAGATATTTATTACAATGTCGCATCTATGAGCGGTCATGCATTCATGTACAGAAACGCCGCTCAACATCTATTGCACTGTGAAGCTGATGTCACCTGTAAAAGAAGTCAGCGTCCTACAATATATCTGTATATATCCTCGTGCTCACAGAGTCTGGCTATATGCCAACCAATCCCTCCAGTTGGCATCAACCGCGTCTTCAAGTTTCATCCAGTTCCGACATTGTCTAGTATGACTGATAGTACCCCTGATATGCTCGCTTTGGAGAAAGTCTCCTGGCTCTAGAGTGTCGTCGGCGTGGCATAAAAAGAATTGTCTCAAGTAGTTCAAGCAGTGTTGAACATGCGATTCCGAGGCTAACTCTCCATCTGGGTCAACAAGGTTTACGCGAAGTTGATTGAGACAGTGCATCTGGTGGAACATCGAAATGGAAAACCAGCGGTAACCTGGCCCTAGACGAACATAACCGTCATGCGAGTTTGCGCCGCGCAAGCTAACATAGGCAGCCTGCGCACGCGGGCCAGTCATCGGGTAAGAGCCGCTTTCTGCAAAGGTCATTTCCACTGGATCGTCAATGCCAGGGACGTCAAACCAAGCAGGGTAATCGTCGCCGACATATGCTTTCAACGCACAGTATAAGTTGCTCTATGGCAGACAGAAGAGATAGAATTCTCGCACAATAATCGACCACCAAAGGCTTGCGCATCCCCGTCTTCGCTTTGTAGGAAATATAAATGGACCAATTGGTTGCGATGACCGTGCCAATGGCCACAAGAAACCCCAAGCGAGTCCATTGGAATGAAGTGGGGAACATAGTCTGGAAAATACACTGACTGAGCTGAAGGCTGCGAAATTGGGAGTGTGCACAAAACCATCACGGCGACCGCTAGATTTCACTGCAAGTTCATGGGAAGCAAAGATCAAATCGAGTCTGCATCCAATCTGCATCACTGCCAGGAACAGCCGTGGGAAGGAGGTTCAGTACTTCTTCGTTCGCGGCGTTGAACTACGCACGAACCACTCATTTTCCCTGCGCTCACGGATCGAACACACTCCCAGCTTCGTGACGTTTATCGTCATAATTTTAGCTTCTCTTATCCGCCGGTATACAATAAGGTAGCGGTTGCTTTTTCATGAGTATAATGACTTATTTCCGATCAATCCTATCATTCTTCTTATTCAGATGGCGAATCAAGCTCTCCATCCTTATACAGAGTTTCCCCTTTCTTCTATCTAATTTTAACGTCCAACACCCAAGTTTTCCCATCAGACTTGGCATAGCACTTGAACGGATAACTCGAACTGGTTCGGATCCAAACTGCCCACGATGGTATCTGAGCTGAAAGGTAGCTAGAACAATTTGAATAGCGAAGGTGCCTGAGGTGATGACTGATAATAGCATCATAGCAGAAAGTGACGGAGTCGCCAAGGAATACACGCAGTTTTCTACGTACCGATATGAAGTGTCAAATGAGTGATGAAGGTAGTGGTGAAGAGTGGCACTGATGTTACTGCCAATGTGGCCTTGCGGTAAATATAATGCTTACCGGAGGTTGTGCTACTTGTTAACGCAGGTTTTTAACTGATCATCCTTCTCTTCCCAAAGATCCGTTCCTGTGCCAGATACATCCCACGGTTCATGATGGCTACAGGCCAATTACTTCACAAAGCATCATAAGTAACACTAGGGTGGAGACGGAACATAGAATGTCAAGTCGAATGAGTCTATATGATAAGCGGGGATGTTACGACACTTCAGTGAACAACCCATGGGGTTGTCGGTGTACATCAACACAGTACTCCTAATTTTGTTTGTAATTCACTCGGAAAGCCCACGCGTACTCAACTCGATCCACGTTTTCCTCAGGTACATCAATTGCCAGCCACCCAGTCCCATTCTGAACGGACCAATGTAAGTCCGTCCTCTCGGTGTTAGAAGTCCCCGGTCCAAGAAGGGAGATTGTGTCTCCGTCAATTATCGGCACACGGTCCTGCACGACCAGCTGCCCATTTCTTGGGCGCTCAAAGGAGACAATGCAAAACGCCTTGGGCGTGGTGAGGAACCGAATTGTGCCGGTATGGTCTTCGGATCCTCGGAACCAGAAGTCCTGAAGGGTTCTGATATCAGATAAGACTGGGAGACGATGGTAGTAGAAGTTACCGTGCTGTATACGCAATCTCCCGCGTACCCGAGCCATCTCCCCGCGTCTCGGAGGTTCTTCTGCATATTTCCGATGATCTCGCCTTCAGCTGTAGGCCCTACTCCCAGAAGACTACCAACGCCGCATCAGCAGATGTAACCTGAAACATTACACACATGGGACGACTCACTAGTTACCATTCTTTGACACAATGTCCACCAGGTTCCTCACGATCGTTGTGCCGTTCTTGTACGCGCTGGGCGGTGTTGCGCGGTTGTAGGCATAAGCGTGTGGGTCCATACCCTCGCTCGTTTCCCACTTGCGCGTTGGCTGCGTTGCGACGAGCTTCTCATACTCGGGCGTATCATGGCCTGGGAGGTCTCCACAACCTTTTCACCGGTATTCTCGCGTGAAGCTTTGATAGTAATGAAATGGTGGGTGGGACGTACGGTCATTCATAACAACCTGCCTGCCCTGGTTCCATGCGTTCTCGAAGAACCGCGCAGCGAACTCGCGCGTCAGGTTCGCGCTGCTGATGTCGCACCACTGAGTCCAGATATTCAGCAAGCCACGAGTGCTTAAGTTAGAGAATACACAACGCACCATGATCTCGGTCTCGTACTTCTCCGCGAGATCTAGCATCTGAGGGAGCTGCAGGTCACTCAAGTAGTTTTCGACGGGTACGCGCCCCGTATAGGGCTCGAGCTCGGACTGGATGTAGGGATTGTGCGCGAGTCCGCCTGGCCAGTTTTCAATACCATAAGGTGCCCAATCCGGGTTGAACCTGTCATAACGTTATGTCAGTTTGGGATTAAATGTTGAATCGCCAAAGCAGTGATAGAGAGGGTGTGTACCATTCGGGCATGGAAAAGTACGTCCCTGTGGAGGTGTTTAGGCGATGTATATGTATGTCAAACGAGGCTCATCGAATTCGTACCTCGATGCAAATGAGGCTTCTCCTTCTTCGCAGTGTCGAGCAGTTCCTTGACTAGGTCTCGTTTCGGTCCGTAGTATAAGCTGTTACGATTCGATGTGTCTCCTGTGTCAAATAGCGCGAAACCATCGTGATGTTTCTGTAAAGTTTGTTAGTACGTGCGCATTGCAGACGGCCAGTCAAGGAGGTACCAGACTTACAGTAACGAAAACAAAGTACTTAGCCCCTGCATCGTCAAAAAGGTCTAGCCATTCACTGGCGTTGAACTTAGACGCTGTCAAGTTTGCAAAGAAGTCGTCGTACGTGACGTTCTGGGTTACGAAAGTTGTTAGCACCCGCCTTCAATCTTAGGTGACGAACACGCTGAACCTTGCCAAACGTCTTGAGATGATACTCCCAGAAGACATTGTCGGGGCCGGGATTGACATGCAGTTGCCAGCTGAGAAGATTGGCATCAGCGACAGAAACAGAGACAAGGTTCAGTTCACTCACTCGTACCAAGCAGGATACGTCCAAGTAGGCCCCTGATAAGAATATAAGGAGGTCATACGGCTAGTTTGTGAGAAACCTTGACTTACCCATGCAGGAACGCTGTACGGGCCCCAGTGTATACTAGAAAATGCCAGTGACACGTTGGACTATACATAGAACAATCACCTACAAGATTCCAAACTTGGCATTGTTCCACTATTCACGTCCTCAGGTAAGCCCCTCTGATCACTGCAGTTAGGAGATGTAGCCATACCCATGTTGGCGTCTCGTGATGCTCCAAAGCCTGGTCACTAGTTGCGAACTCTTCTCGCCGAGACATCGCACGCCAGCCAGAAGACGACGCGACGACCTGTCCACTTTCGTCTTCCACGACAACGGTCAACTCGTTGCTCTCCATTTGAGTCAGATTTTCAACCAGTACGTCCACTCTGACCTGGTCAGCCGCTGTGAGGCGGTATATGATACCGGGCCGAACGGTACTGAACGATGGGCCAGAGACCGTGACTTTGAGGGGTGTGGTGATCGATGCGGTCTCGAACGCTGTCACCGGCGTGAGGTTGGCTAGTGTGACTTCCACAGCCTGCGCGCGGGTACCATTGACGAGCTCCCAGCGTGATGTAAGGCGTACACGGCGGAAAGCGAGTGCAGGTCCGTTGTCCGTTTGGCATGCAACGGGAGTGGCGGAGAGCGCAAAGAGGTGAAGCCGATCGGATGATGTTCCTGGGGGGAGCTGTACAGCTGCGAGTCTCGATTGCGAGGGTATGGGTGTGGACCATTGATATATGCTCGTGCGGTTCCCATTGATGTCTTTGCCGTAGTTGTCGTAGTGGATGGGTCTGAGGATGATGTCAACGTACATTAGGTTGAGTGGATGAGAACATACTTACGTCTCAATTGCGCCAGCGTTCAGAAATATCTCTGTCCACCAGTGCTTCACAGACACTTTGACTCAAGTCAGGGGTCAAGCGAAGCAAGAGCGAGAAAATGCTTACTTGGCAGGATCTGAGAGCTGTTATCCTCGTAGTGGAGTGTGAAGTTGACGACAGTTGTTCCTGTAATCGTGTTCTGCACTGTGATGCTAACGATACAAACATGACGATACATACCCTGGTTTCCATCGCCAGCATAGAGAAAATGAAGCTCATGAGCTAGGAAAGGTTGCTCAAAAGCAATAGTGTGCCCGTCCGCTAGGATGTTGTCGTCGCTCGTGCCCCATGTGTACGGCAACTCATACTGAACGCAGTAGATCAGCAAGAGCTCATATTGGATAATTGCAAGACGCACTCCAACACAATCGTACACCCATGTCCCATTAGGCAGGAACTCAATGACATAGCTACCTCCCTGGCCGTCAAAGTTCGCGTTTGTCGTTCCATTGCCCAAAGAACCTGCCTGGTTGTTGTATAGTGAGCTAATCGGTATGGGGGTTGAAGGAAACGGATGAATAGGTGAAGTTGATGGGGGTGGAAATGGCTGCTGAATCGACATGACTGGTCCTGGTCAACATCGATGAGGTGAAGCAGGTCGAGCCCCGCAGCTTCCCCGCGTTTCCACCACGCGACCGCATGCAATAGACGCCGCGACGTCAGACGCGTCGACGCGCGCTCCAACCATCCATTCCCACGGTTCGGAATCAACCGTGTGCAGTGGCCATCTGTCGTGGTGAACCACTTTTTTCTCCACCTCTGACTACCACGCCATACCTGGCTGTCTCGGCTTTCACATCTGATGTGGGTGAATAGGCTATTACTAGACTCGGCGTTGAGTCCTTGTTGACTGATCCCGCTCTTCGTAAACTCTCGTACCTCCTTTGAACGATACCAAGATCCCAAAAGCGCAACGGCCTGACGTAGCCCGTAGCTTCGAACTGGCGAAACCGGTAGGGATTTCTCGCATAGAATACCCCCAGTAAGTGCTGAGCTCAGTTCAGGAACACGGGCCCCTCAATGTTCACAGCCTCTTTGCAAGGCACTGTCTTGCCGCGTCGCATAGAGGCTCGGCTTCCTGCTCCCGGTAAGGTGCATACAGTCAGTTTCTTCAACTCAATGGAGGATCCTCCTCTTGCTCCAGGATCGTTTGGGTATGTACTTGCTGCATTGCATTTCTCGAAGCTTGATTGCACAATCGTGTAATACAATACAGCAATACTACCTCACGAGACTGCCTCCTGTCCATCGGCCGAACGCCATCCCCCGGGCAGTCGAGCGTTCATATGATTGTGGGGCGGCGGATCTTAGGTCTGCTTGAATGGTAGAACTTACCACGTCCTTCGTAACCTTACATTGCCTTCCGTGCGTTGTCTCTATCTGTTGTGCGCACATGAAGCTGACCGTTTCCTGCGGACACGCATATAAGAACTTGTGATCTCGTATTTGCAGAGGTATATGAGCCTGGCCGTTGAATAGGCCAAGAGGAGCGATTTTATGCCAAGTGACTGCGACATCTGCTGCGTGGCCTTGCTAAGAATACTGAAGAACCCCTCTGATCATCTCCTGAAGCCACTTCAATTCAACCTTTGGCTCTAGAGCCTGCTATTAAAGCGAGTATATTCTCCTGTGCGCTCGTCAATCCTACCTACTCCTCGACGTCTCTCTCAAATTCGTCGCTATGCGCATTGTCTCCTCGGCTTCCGTCGCTCTCGTACTCGCTCTTTCCGGATCAGTCGCACAAGGCGCGACACTGGTAACGCGTGATGCTGCCGGGACCAACGGTGTTCAGCAGGCTCGACGAAGTCCTGTAAGTGATTTAGTTGTATCGTTGACTACTGATATTTGATGCGGACTCGCAGATAAGTGCTGGAATGAGGGTCTCACATTGGGCACGGTATGGAACCAGACCCTGTCAACGCCTATCGACGTTGATTTCAGGTTTATAGGGGTACTCACGAGCAAGGGGTCGCTCGCGACACTGGTCACGATAGCCATTATAATGATAACGACCACCAACACCATGGAGACAAGCATGACGACGATGGTAACAGCGACAGCGACAAAGAGCACCACGGCAATTGGAAGGAGAAGCGAGATGATACTGGAAAGAACTTTGCCGGCGGACTGTTTGGCGATGACTTCAAGGTGAACGAAGTCTGCTCCGTATGATTCATCATTCAGATAAGCTGACCTGTAATGTCTGACTAGGACGTCGGTAAACTCGGGAATGGGTTCGGAAGCGCCAACGTATGTTGACCCCCGCGTTCAAATAGCCAGCAGCTGACAGCTGTACTAAATCGTTTAGGGAAAAGACCACCAAGAGGATCACGACGAGAAGAACGACGTAAGTTTTACCGGCGCCGATCTCCCCTGTTTCGGCAGCATCTGACGCGATGGTCAGCTTACCCAAGACAAGTCCAACAAGGAAAACCAGTGGGCGAAAGTCCATGGCAACGCAGATGCGGCCAAAAAGCAGAACGACAAAGACAGTAAGGAGACTAATGACGCGGATAAGTCCAGCAAGGATAAGACGAAGGCGTATGTGCACGGGAAGGGCGGAGACAAGACTGGAGATAATGCTGGAGACAAGGCTTCACAGGCTGGGCATGCTAAACGGGGTGGCGATGGTAAAGGCGGTGGTGCCAATTATAACGCCGATGTTGGGTATAACAAGCAAGCTGCCGTGAGTCTCGGTTCTTGATATGCGTCTGACCAGGGCTGATGCTTTCGATACGTTGCTAGGACAAAAACCAACTAGACGTGAGTTCTTCATCGATCGACACCAATGAGCCGAACTAACACACTTTCCTTTCCGTGGCATATAGCATAAGAAACAAGACGCCCTTAAAGACAAGGAGTATAACAAGAATAAGAACATAAACCTCGACTACGACAAGGACAAGGAGAACGTCGTGCATCATCACAACACGGATGAAAAGAACGAGCACAACAACAAGGCGAAAAACAATGCGCTCAATGCTGGCAGTCAGTTCGGTCAACTCGGCTTTGGCGGGGGCAAGATTGGGAAGCGCGGAGATGATTCTGGATTTGTGAGTTCAGCTTTCACCAGGCGGTCCATGCATTGCGCTTCCTCTCGTTAAATTTGGCCTGCTGACGAGGCTGGTACAGGGTGGCTTCGGCGATGGAAAGAGTGGCTTCGGCGGTCTGCCAGGCTTCGGCGGCTTTGGCGGCTTTGGTGGGTTCGGCAAGAAGTTAACGGACGGCCTGTTCGGTGGGCTCGGTGGATCTGGGAAGAACGGCTTTGGCGGCTTTGGGGAACCTGGAAAGGGCGGACTTGGTGAATCCGGGAAGAAAGATGAAGGTGTATGTGCAGCCCTAATTCGTTCGTTTCGAGACGGTCTAATTTGCTTGTGTAGGGCAAGAAATACGACGAAGAAGGCAAGGGTCACGAAGGGGGTGAAAAGGGGTCTGGTGGACTCGGTGGGTTTGAGGTGCAGTCTCGTAACCCCCCTTTGATGCCGCGACTGACCAGCAACGCTTGCCTCCAGAACAATCTTGATGCGTATAACTCCGATAAAGACAAGCACGATAAGGACGAGAAGCATACGGTGAGCTCTACTATTGCCTCATTCGCGCAGAGCTGACCCGAATGCCGTTGACAATGACCAGCACGACGACTTCAAGAAGACGAAAGACAAGGAACATCTCGATCTCAACATCAAAGACAAGGAGAACGCCAAAGACAAGGAAGCGAAAAACAACGAAGAAGGCCATGCGAAGAATGAGAAGGTCGCGGATGAGAATGCGAATGCGAAGGAGAATTTGAACGCAAGGCGTGCGCTTCGAAGCTAAGTGAACGAACCACTGGCAACGCAAGGGAGGCTATTTGGCTGTTCCCATAACGAACGGTGTTGCTGTTTTCGCTGCGAGATCTGAGTATAGGTGCACTGTCAACGGACTACAGGTTTACTTTTCATTTGTATACTACGCATGCATTATACATCCTAACTCTTCATATTACCACCTCCCGCGGTGCGTTACGCATTCTAAACTCAGTGAGACGAATGGTGTTCCGCACATTCATTCATATAGTCTGGGCTAACGGTCGTCTTTCATCGATGTCATCATGTTACTTGCGTGTCAGCTTCTATGAGAGAGCGATAAATTTTAGTCCATACAGGTTGCAGGAGGCCCGACGAGGAGCATACCTAGTCACGGAAGTTCTTCGAGATCATCTGCGGAGCTGGCCAGAGCACCATTTCGTTGCCATTTTCCAGTTCTTCAGTGTTGAGCCGGATGTAATAAGAGCTAGATTTCAATCTCCGACAGTCGATGCGCGTAGACAGTGACAAACAACGCGTCGTCTTTAACCAAGTTGAACGCTTCCCTCATCCACCTCCGGAACAGCGCAAATCTAAGTAGCATCGCGACCCGAGATAGCTCGATATGCCACATCAGGCTTGCATCAGCCATCAGCAGGCTCGGCCCTTGCTCAGCTCGCATCAGTCAAGCTCAAGTCCTCAAGGGCAAAGGCTTCGTGAAAACTCTTGACAAAATCTGAAACAACGAGTCCCCTCGGAGGAAGCCGGTTGAGTATCAGTTTTCCCACACAGCGCGCCGAGTGCTGTATGTTTTACCAGCGCTCGGGCTGTGGTATAAATAACGTCTTCTTGATGCCCGGCCTCAACTCTCTTTCCTTCTCTTGACGTTGTCTTTCCGTAGAATGAAGCTGCTACCGTTCTTTGAACTCGCCGCAGGGGTCATTTTGGTCACCGCGTCTTCACATTCGTTCAGAGGATCCCCCGCACAAAGTTTTCGAAGACATTACTTCTCTTCCTCCTGGATGGACAAAGCATACTGAACCGCCTTCGGATCAGATACTCGAGTTGCAGCTTGTACTATCACATCCGGGATACAGCGAGCTCGAGAACCACCTACTCCAGATCAGCGACCCTAGCAATTCGCGCTATGGCATGCACCTGTCAAAGGAGGAGGTGCATGCGCTTATGGCACCGACTCAGGACACGCACGAGGTCGTAAACGAGTGGCTCGCGTCTCATGGTCTTGACGAAAGCTCGCTGGTGCGTTCTTCGATCAAGGATTGGGTGTCTTTTCTAGTCCCCGTCTCGTTAGCTGAGGAGATGTTTGATACGGTGAGCGATCTGCACCATACTGTCAAGGGATGTACTGTAGCTTACAATGCGGTAGCATTTTCACGTCTACAAGCACGACCAGTCCGCAGAGGCTGTCATTCGAACGACGAGCTATAGCCTCCCTGAGGTGCTTCACGCACACATCGACCTCGTCCATCCTATGATAATGTACACCTCCCCAAAGCCCTTCAGGTCGGCGCTCCACTTCGCAGGCGGCGAGCGCAGGGACGTGGACGTCATGGCGACTACCACTGGTACCGTTACCAGTCCCTCGGGCAACACGGTCAACGCATCATGCAAGTCCACCATCACACCGGACTGCCTTCGTCAGCTGTACAACGTCGGCAATTACACGTCGTCTGCGTCGAACGGGAATAGTATCGCTGTTACTGCGTATATACAGGAGTACGCCAACTTTGCGGATTATCAACAGTTCCTACGTGCGCAGGCTCCCGATGCAGCGGGTTCGAACTTTTCTGTGATATCTATCGCTGGTGCGCTTCACAGACTCTATTTGAGGACACGAGTATTCTAGGGCTAAAGTTGCAGATAGGTGGTCAAAATAACCAGACGCTCAATCAGTCAGGCGAAGAAGCGGCGCTGGACATCGACTACGCATTCAGCTTGGCACACCCCATCCCAAGTACCTTCTACACCGTTGGAGGTACACCCACAGGGATAAACTGGACGTTGCCTATCTTAGAGGTGAGCACATCGCCTCCGATATGATACATTCAGCCTAACAATCTCGCAGTTCATCGATTACGTATTGAACCAGACCGATATACCCCAGGTTATTTCCACCAGCTACGGTCAGCCCGAGGACACAGGTAAACTGTTTCTGCATTTTTGCTATCAAAGATGCCTTAACCATCGAACAGTGCCATTCAGCTACGCAAATAAGGTTTGTCAGGGCTTTGCTGCTCTAGGTGCGCTGCCTCTAAACGAACGGAGTTCGTCTCTGATGCTTAGTGGACTTGACAGGTGCTCGTGGTGTTTCTGTTCTCTTCGCCTCTGGCGACTACGGTGTGGGACTTTGCGAGGCAAACGCGACTAACCCACAATTCCAACCGCAATGGCCAGCTACCTGCCCTTAGTGAGTCCACTCTTTCTTTGTTCTTTCACGCCGGATTATTGTTCCTAACAGCGACCGCAGCGTAACCAGCGTCGGCGCAACTCAGGATATCCCGGAAGTTGCATGGCAGTACTCGGGAGGCGGGTTCAGCAGCTACGTATGAGATGGATTATTGTTCCAGATCCCCACCTTACATCACAACGCAGTATCCTCGGCCACCTTACCAAGACGAGGCTGCGCAAGCGTTTCTGTCACAAGTCGGAAGCGCCTACGAAGGCCAGTATAACTCGTACGTGCATTTGTCTTCCACCAGGCGTTCGATCATTAATCGTCCTTCAGGAGCGGTCGCGTATGTGTCTACGCTTCTCCACAGTCGTGGCACCTGACTTCGCCACCTCGTTTTACAGGGACACCCAGACATCTCAGCCCAAGGCGTCAACTACCTCATAATCAAGGGTGGCAATGTCACGTCCGCCTCCGGCACGTCCGCCTCGAGTCCCGTCGTAGCTGCGCTTGTCGCAATGCTCAACGACGCTCGCATCAAGGCGGGTATGTCTACCCTTGGCTTTCTTAACCCATTGTTGTACTCGCAAGGTGCCTCCGCTCTGAACGATATCACTAAGGGAAGTAACCCGGGATGTGGTACACCGGGCTTCAACGTAAGTACATTGAGAGTTGACTTTGTGGTATGTGTTCGCTGACATCTGGGCGTCGTCGAATGAAGGCTACGAAGGGATGGGACCCGGGTGAGCTGCCGATTCATCCCTCGAGAGTGTGGGTGTTCTGATATACGTTTTAGTCACTGGCCTTGGAACACCAGATTTTTCAAGACTCAAGGACCTTGTGCTATCCTCCAACATTTCATTGTCGGATTAAACCATAATCGCATCGAATGTTCTCCCTTTGGACATCGATGAATTAAGGGTTAGATTACATAAAGTTACTGACAAACGCGTGCCCTCTTTGATCGAGTTTTATTAATCCTCATACCATTTATTGAAGGTCATAGCAACCTCTAATGATAGAAACGTCGACCTCGCAGCATCAGAATCACTCATCTTCGACCCTATGTCTCTCATTTCGGGCTCCTGAGACCGAGCGCGAAGCTGATCGTTGCAACGGCTCGCATTAGCCTGCTGTGACCGCGAGTACCTGAGTAAGATGATGGTCACCATGCATCCACCCGTCCATCCAGTCTAGAGGCCCGGCCCGGGAGGTTAGACGTGATTTAACCGTTAAACTCAGAGCCCCTGATTTCTTGATTTCTGAGTCGCCCTTCGTGATCTATTGATGCTGATATTTATCAGTACTCCATGATGAGCAGCTCATCAGATATTGAACGTCGTGGTCTACTCTGGCGAGTGCATATCAGTTCTCAAAAACCCGCTGGTGCTACAACGCCGCTCACAAGTGGGTTCACATCAAATTGGTCCGACTTTTCTCCTTGTTGAGATGATATCTTCATGTCAAACGCTGCGGCGTCTGATGGCAAGGGCTGTTGATATGCTGTGATGTCCAATTGCTCAGTTTGCAGTATGTCCCCGCTCTGCTGCGATATTCATAAGTCGTCACAGGTCGTCACCCAGATGCACTTACTTCCCACTACTACCCTGCTTTCTTTCTCAACCCATCTCTCAGGATGAGGACCACACGTTCTTTCATCGCACTCCTCTCCTTAGTCTTAGCCGCCACTGCGGCACCGCGCCCCGGCCCGAAGCCATTCAAAGGTTGCGACCACAAGGTTTTCGAGTCGATCGAGTCTCCTCCAGCGGGATGGGCAAAGCATACCGCCGCGCCCCACCATGAGCTGATTCAGCTTCAAATCGCGCTTTCACAGCCCCGTTTTGGAGAGCTCGAGGACCACCTCCTCCAGATCAGCGACCCCAGCCACGCCCGCTATGGCATGCACCTTTCCAAGGAGGAGGTTCATGAACTTATGGCTCCGCACCCCGACTCTCATGACCTTCTCGTCGAATGGCTTGTATCGCATGGCCTTGATGAAAGTGCGATCCTCCGATCGTCTGCCAATGATATGGTGACTGTCAGTGTGCCTGTCAATGTCGCCGAGGCCATGTTCGACACCGTACGTCCACCTACGTGATGCGCTTCCATCAGTTTCGCTAACGCTTCCCTGCATTTTTTGCACACTTAGGAGCTTCATGTATACAAACACGCCGAGACTGGCGAAGGCGTCATTCGTACGACAAGCTATAGTCTTCCCGAGATCCTGCATGACCATATCGAGCTCGTCCACCCTCTGACGATGTACACCTCCATGAAGCCGCTCAGGTCCAAGGTTCATTATGCCGACGGTGCTATCCAAGATATCGTTATGACCCTTGCTTCTAACAACTTCGGACCGCGCTCCGAGTCCGCTTCCAGCGCCATCGATCCCTCGTGCAACTACCAGATCACCCCGTCCTGCCTCCGCCAGATGTACAACATTGGGAACTACACGCCCTCGGCGACGAACGGGAATGCAATCGGAGTTACTGCGTTCATCAACAACTTCGCCAACTTCGATGACTTCCACAAGTTCTTGGAGCTGCAGGTGCCCGCTGCCGCTGGAGGTGGCGCGAACTTCTCCGTCGTTTCTATCAGCGGTTTGTGTCCAGTTGACTTTGCCATCACACCTCGCTCTTATCGCTCAACAATGCATTGCCAGGTGGTATGAACAACCAGACAAACGGCACTGCAGGCTCGGAGGCAGATCTTGACGTCGAGTACGCCTATGGACTCACTTATCCGACTCCCGGGACTTTCTACCCCATCGCTGGGGCACCCACCGCGAACTGGGTGACGCCGTTCTTAGATGTATGTCGAATTTCTTGCGACTACTCATCAAATTAGAGCTGATACTGTTCTCGTTACAGTTCGTCGACTACGCTCTCAATCAGACCGATGTGCCCCAGGTGATCTCAACAAGCTATGGGCAGGACGAAAACACCAGTACGTCACATTCGTTGCTTCCTTTGTCCAGTGTTAACCCACATCTTGCATCAAGTCCCTCAGAGCTACGCGAACCGCTTCTGTAAGGGCGTCGCCGCCTTGGGTACGTTCGAGTATTGTCGGCTCATTAATTTTTGATGCTGACGCGCACTCGACAGGCGCTCGCGGTGTCTCGATGATTTCCGGCTCTGGAGACTTTGGTGTCGCCGGCTTGGGCGCTGAGTTTGGGAACGACACCCAGCCCGGCCCGTTCCTGATGCTCTTCCCTGCCTCTTGCCCCTAGTGCGTTTCATTTCGTTGTAGTTCATGACTAGTTGTCTCACCGCTGTGCACACGTAGCATGACTGCCGTCGGCGCGACACAAGGTATCGAGGAGGTTGCTGCCAACTTCACCCAGTTTGGCGGGTACACCGGTGGCGGCTTCAGTAACTATGTAAGCGCAAGGTTGCCTTTCTGCGGAAAGGGTCGATTGACGGCCTTCGGGTTGTGCCGTAGTTCCCTCGCCCATCTTACCAGGACGCGGCCGTCCAGCCTTACCTTGAGTACCTCGGCGATCAGTATGAAGGCCTTTACAACAAGTATGTTTTCTTCCCCTTTAGACTCTTCCCATATCGATCACACATTCTGACGTGCGTTCCTAGGAGCGGCCGCGGCTTCCCCGACGTTGCCGCACAAGGCGTCAACTACCTCATCGTGAACAACACCATCGTGTCTAACATCTCCGGCACGTCCGCCGCCACCCCGACCTTTGCCTCGATCGTGTCGATGCTCAACGACGCTCGCATCGAGGCAAACATGTCCACGCTCGGCTTCCTAAACCCGTTCTTGTACTCCCAGGGTCTTTCCGCCCTCCAGGATATCACAAAGGGGAACAACCCCGGAAGAGGCACGCCTGGGTTCAACGTGAGTAGTCATTATTTTTGCCTATGTGTTTGATAAGAGTGATTTGGCTCATCGATGTGGATGATATGTAGGCGACCAAGGGATGGGATCCTCGTGAGTTCATTCCTGCTGACAACCTCCATTGACCTTGTGCTAATGGATGTTTCTAGTTACCGGCCTGGGCACTCCCGACTTCGGGAAGCTCAAGGATCTAGTCCTCGCGTCCAACTCTACTTTGTGAATGACTAATTGTCTGTGGTGTTAGCCGTTTTTATTGGACTTTATCTCGGATCTATATAATCATGGACATGTTGTTTACTGATAATGGTAAAATGGACTTTGAGTGCTTGTTTCGCGGATGGACATGGTCTCGCAAGGATGACTATCGTGCGTTGTGTCCTACACCGCTAACTACGAGACATCCCTTCTCCCGTATTTCGCTATCATGCCATAGAAAATGTATTTGATGGCCAGCTTGATATTATGACACGGTAGAGGGCTTGGGGAGAATACATAACCATTATTCGCAGACTATCAATGGTAAGCTTAAGTTACGGTATAGACAAGAGTAACACGGTAGATATACACTGATTCAAATAGGTGGGACACCCTAAAGCAAATCATGACACATGGCGAGCGGGAAGGAACATACAATGAGCAAATACGAATCAAGAGAAAGAAAGAACGGAGATGAGATGATAACCAGAACAAGATATGGAGCGCATCCAGCTCAAAGCTTTGCATCCCGCTTGACCCGCGGTGCCTCGTCGCGCTCGTCACCGGCATCAACAGCCTCCTTGCCCTTGTCGACGCCTTCGCGGGCGTTCTTGAGTCCGCGCCTGAGCCCCTCGCGCCCACGCTCCATCCCACTCCGCCTGCCTTCCTCGTACCCCTCGACGTCATCCAGCCGGCGCAGGCCATCGCGCATCGCGTTCTTGCCGCGCTCAATCGACTCCTTTGCCTTCGGGTTCTTGCGCGCTGCGTCGACGCTATCATCGACCGCGGTTGCAGCCGCAGATGAGGCCTCAACGGTCTCAACCTGCACCTGCCCGATATATGCGTCACGCTGACTGTCCTCCTCATCGTCCTCATCCTCATCCCCGTCCTCATCCCCACTCATATGCTCCCTCATCCGCTCCTTCCAGTCCCCCCTCCGCACACTCGCAAGACGCTCCTGAATCTCCGCCTTCACAAACGGATAGCGCGCCCGCGCGATCGCGAGCTTCTCCTCGTCCTCGACGAGCTCGTCGTACCGCTCCGCCACCATCTCCTTCGTCTGGTCGAGGAACCGCCCGAGCTTCTTGAACCCCGTCAGCTGCGCGAGCTCCTCCTGGTTCGCCGCGTGCTTCGCTGCGCGCGCGGCTTCTTTCTCGGCTTCTTTTGCCGCTTTCTCGTCGAGCAGGGCTTGTGCGGCGGGGTCGAGTGGTGCAGCCGCGACCTCGGGAGAGGGAGACTGGTTGTGTTCGGCGAAGGAAGGAGCGGCGGCGGCAGCAACCTTGTTGGGTGCCTCAGGGCTGACAGGCGGAGCAGACACTGGTCTCTCGAACAAATGCGGGGCATCGTCGATTTCGTCGTGCTTCTCCTTGGCGTTGGGCGCATTAGGAGGCTGAGGCGGCGCAGGCCAGCGCCACTGCCTGCGCGGGCGCTCCTGACCTTCGTCCCCGCTCTCTCCGCCCTCGTGCTCACGCTGCTCGCGCCTCTCACGCCTCCTGCGGCCCCAGCGCGACTCCTGGCCGTCCTCGCGCTTCGGCAGGCGCGGCACCTTCCACTCGTGGCCCTCAGTGGGCTCATACTCGGACTCAGCGTCCGAGCCAGAATCCTCGCTGGAGTCCGGCTGCCACTTCCGGCGCGACTCCTCGCCCCACTTGCGGATGCGCTCCAGCCGCGGGTTCAGGGGTTTCGCAGAATTGGGAGCATCGTCGGTGCCCCCAGCCTTCACATCAAGTGCGGGCACACCAACAGCGACCTCCACCAGGCCGCTGCCGACGTCGACGCCGTCCGCTTTTGCTGTCTTCTTCGCACCCGAGTTCGACTTGCGGTACGTCGACTCGGGCCGCGCGGGCCGGCCCTCGCGCTCCGCGATCCTGTTCTCGATCTCGCGCTCGACCCGCCCTACGAAGCGCTCGATGGTCGTCGGGGTCTTGCCCTGTTCGGGATCCTCCATGCCCACGCCCGTCGGCGCTGTGGGGCCCTGCGAGCCACCCGGCACATCGTCGGAAGGCGTCGAAGAGGGGGAAGCGTCGGCGCTGCTGCTCGATGACTCTGCGTCCTTCTTGATGCCACGGTGAGTGTTGTGATTGTCTGTGGAATCCATGGGGTCCTGATTCCACTCGCCATCCCTGCCGGGACCACGGTAATTCTTCCCAAACCCATCGCCGCGGAAGTTCTTGCCTCTCGCAGCGGGACCCGACTCGGGGGGCGTCGGCGGGGTAGGAGGGGTGGGGATCTTGGGCGGGACGAAGCCCCGGCGGGTCGCAGCATCGACGACGTCTGCAGCGGACGCGGGATCCGCGAGTGCGGTAGGCGCAGGGACAGCCAACTGAGTTGCATCAATCATGGGCTTCGCTTTGGGCGCTGGCGAATCCTCGTCGTCGCTCAGCAGGTCATCCCACTGAGCGCCGATTCTAGCCCACTCAAGCACGCGGGGCGCGTTGAATGCGAACGGCGGGCGGAGCAAGCGGCCAGCGGCGTCGTCGGGGCTGATGCCCTCCGTGCGGCAGGCTTCGTTGAGTGCGCTTCCGGGCATGATGATGGCGCGTGCGATCTGTTGGCGGGGTGTGGGTGCGTTGGGAGGTTGGGCTTCGAACGAGGGAGGGCGGCCGTATCCGAGGGAGGCGGCGGCGACGAGAATATTACTGCGTCCAGGTTCATGATTAGGGGTGTACTCGGCATGGAGAGGGAGTTTGGAAGAGACAGACGTACGCGGTGAGACCGAAGACGGGCTTGATCCCGCCTGCTTCGCGTCCAGTGAGGAAACGGTGAACACGTGTAGTACCTGTCTCGCCGAAGGCGTGGTCGGACCAGGTGTGGTATGGTTCGCTTCTGGGAGCAGGGAACGGCGGTGTCGAGTCGAGGAAAGACCTGAGCGGGTGGGAGAAGAGAGTCGCAACTTCGAACCCGTTGAGTTGTGGCTGATGGAAAACGGGTCAGTACGCCGATGCGGCTCAAGGCACAGAGGGTCGCTGCCATCAACGAAGCCTCACCTGGAGGGTCTTGTCGAGGATCAAAACGACGACGCTAAAGAAAGCAAGTGCAGAGAGGGGGATAATATATGAATATGCAGATGTGGGTGTCCAAAGGAACGATAGCAACGACGTACGGAGTGACAATCACCTGGTTCCTGGCGAGGAAAGGTTCCATCACGCATAGCAATGGTACCTTTACTCTATCCTGTGGCAGTCCGATCTATCATTTCGCGCAACGCAGAATGATCAGACGGGTGCCCCTGATGTTAGTCGTCGCGTTGATGCCAAATTTAGCAGGGCTATGTACCTCCTCGTATGCTTCACGTCTCTGGATACGCGCCCGTGTTTCAGCAAGGCGAATGGAAGTGGGGAGGAGCATGGTAAGAGACTTACAGCGGTATCCTCGATGGATCTATCCTCGGGCTCAACCTTGCCTCCAGGTAACGCGGTGTCGCCAGCATACGTCCTCAGCTCAGCAGCGCGCCTAAAGGAAGCAAGCGCAAAATCTGAGTCAATGTGTATGCCCACGTATCTAAAGCACGCACCTGCTGAGGAGAACATAGAGGTCTCCTTCTCTTCCAACAAACAGCGCGATGAGAACGGCAGCACTGCGACTGCGAGGGAACTCGGCGCGGGTGCGTGCAGCACGATAGTCGAGGAAGTTCTCGATGCATCTGCAAAAGCAAACATCTGAGGATCAGAAGCAGTGAGGAAGAGGCGCATATACGCACATCCTAGACTCCTCCTTGAGCAGTGGAAGCTGCTTCTTGAGATACCTGCGCTTGGGGCGGGGAATCCTCCAGAAGCGCATGGGGGCCGACTCGCCGGAACTGGTCTCGTCGTCGGAAGACATTCTGGTCTATGAGCACGACGCAACTTTCTGGCAGAAGAATATGAGAGAGAAGGAACAAGAACGAAGTTCTCGGAGACGCGGACGAGGAGCTGTGCGAAGTTGCGAGTGGAGATTTGAGGTCGACGAGGGGTATCGCGCCGTCAATGCCGGGCACCGGTTACTCGGGTGCAATAGCACGGTTCAGGGCGGCTGGTGCTCGCGCGCCTCTCCCTGATGCCATCTTTTGATCCTGTCTTTGGACCGCCCCATGGGTCCACAAGGGCGCGAATGAACTTAGTCTAGCCAAGATTGCAACATATATCTGCCTTAAAACACTAAATACGAAACGTTTTCGCTGATGAAACGCGAAGCTCGAGTGCTGGAGTGTTGATTTGAAACCTCCCGGCGCCTAGTTGCAATGGTAAGGCACACTCAGGACATCGATGAAACGAGTCTCTCAGATTGCTTTCGGTAGCTTTATCGTGTTAACATTTTGTTTCCCGCAAAGACCCTGCAACTTCAAGGTATAGCATTGAAGACACAAGCTAAACGTCAACACCTACATGAAACTTCCATGCGTTGGGGGGATGGAAAGAATCATTCGGGCCACGTTCAAAATAAAGAGCGAAGAGAAATGCATTCGGTGAATCCTACACAATCTACACGCATGTGTATGTTACATCCCGAAGATGCAAGTTAAGATAAATGTCCTTTCCAATGCATAGAAGTACAGTGAGAAGTTGAAGATCGGGCTCAAGCCCGTTTTCATAACCACAGTGAAGAAACTCATGCTCGGTTGTATCCCCCAAGCTCACTACCGAGCTCGTCCTAGTGAAGGGAGAAAAGGGTCAACTTGGCGATACGCAAGGTGTGCGATGAACGGCTCACTTCGAGACCAAGACCCTGGAGACCCTCAAGGTCGAAATCGAACGAGCCGAGGTCTAAACCGTCCTATAAAACCACCCTTGTCAGCAACGCCTTACACTGAAGGGCAAGCCCGAAAGGCTCACAGATTCATCGCCGCCGCGCTTTTCAAAGCCCTTGCCGCCGAACCCGTCATTACCGAAGAACGAATCTTGCTTGAGCTTCTGGTCCTGGTCCTTAGCCTTCTTCTTCTTGTCGGCGGCGGCCTGCTCTGCGGCCTTGTCCTTCACGTTCTCCTGATCCTTGATCTTGATATCATTGTTCTCTTTGTCCTTGTTGAACGCCTCGTTGTTTTTCTGCGCGGCGAAAAAGAAACGTAAGCGGCTGAGAGCGAAGGTCGAAGATGAATCGGGGAAGACACACCTCATTTGACTGCTGCTTGTTCTTCTTGTCTTTGTTGTTCTATCAGCCAAGGTCAGTCACAACACTCACCAAGGCGCGTAGAAAGCGTGAAAGACCCACATCAAAGATATCAGCGTTGTTGTCAAAGCTGCCAATGTCACCAAAGTCGTCGCCTCCGCGCTTGTTGAAGCCCTTGCCAAAACCGTCGCCAAAGTCGGAATCTTGGTTGAACTTGTTGCTCTTGACCTTCTCGTCATTCTGGTTGAGCACGTTCTTGTCGTGATTCTTCTTCGCGTTCTCCTTGTCCTTGTTGTTGTGGAGTTCAAGCACCTTGTCTTTGTTGTATTCCTTGTCCTTGACGGCTTTGTTCTTTTTGTTCTGTTGAGGCGAGGCAGAAAACCATGATCAGCTTCGTCTCCCTAGCTGTAGGCTGCACGAATAGTACTCACGTTAGCATCGTTCAATTTCTGTGCACATGCCAGATCATGAGCGCGGGTGTGAGAAGAGGAAACTCGCGTATGCGTACGTTATCTTTGTTGTTAAAATCCGCGTCATTATCGAACGCTCCGCCAAACCCGCCAGACTCGTCGCCACCGCGAGCGTGCAAGTTCTCCTTCGCCTTCAAGTTCTCGTCCTTGGCCTTCTGGTTCTTGAGTCTGTCGGCCTCGTTCTGGGCCGCCTCCTTGTCCTTGGCATTCTCCTGGTCGCCAACTTTGAGTTTGAGATGCTCCTTGTCTTTGTTCTTCGCGTAGTCGTCGTCCTACACCGCTGTGTCATTACTCGAACTAGGAAGCGTAGAGGGAACATTGACTTACAGTGTGCTTCGCGTTCTTGTCCTTGTTGTTCTTCTCGTTGTTGAAGGCGCCGAACTTGTTCTGAGTACGAAAGACGGCGTCAGATAATCCTCGCCTACACCAACTTATTATAAATACTCACCGCGAAGTTGCCGGAGCCACCCTTACCCTGGACAGACATATCAGTTCACATGCGATCAAACAGTAGAGAATGAACTCACGCCCTCGTCACCGCCACGCTTGCCAAGGCCGAGCTTGCCGAAGACGGAACCGGCGTTGATCGCGTTGTTCTTGTTCTTGTCGTTGTGGTCGTGCTTCTCGTCGGCGTCGTGGTGGTGCTCGACGTTCTCCTTGTCCTTGTCGTAGTCAAGATCAATGTCCTTGTTCTTGTTGTACGCCTTGTCCTTGACGGCGTCCTGCTTCTTGTGCTGTATGGGAGAAGAGAAGACGGCGTGAGGATACGATCAGGGTGATGCGGCTGGGTGGGATACTTACGTCGAGCTGGTTCTTGTCCTGTTCACGAAGACAAAAACGTAAGCTCCAGTAATGCGCGGTCAACTAGAGGAAACCTTACGGCGTTCTGCTTGTTGTAGCCAACATCGGCGTTATAGTTGGCGCCGGCACCCTTCTTGCCTTCGTCCTGCTTGCCTTCGTCCCCACCACGCTTGTCGTACTTCTTACCGTAGCAGCCGCCGTCGCCGCCGCGCTTATCATACTTCTTGCCGTAGCACTTGGGCTGACACTCCCCCTCGTCTCCACCGCGCTTGTCGTATTTCTTGCCGTGGCACTTGTGGTGCTTGGGGTAGCACTCTTTACCGCCGTCGCCGCCGCGCTTCGCGTAGTACTTCTTCTTGCACCCGCCGTCGCCGCCGCGCTTGTTGTACTTCCCGGAGCCGCCACATGGCTCGTAGCATTGGTCGTAGCACGGGTTGTAGCACTCGCCGCCGCCGCCGTAGCCACCGTCGCCGCCACGAGCGACGAGCGCGCCATCGGAGCCGGGGATGGTGAGGCCCTGAGCGACGGAGCCGGAGAAGGCGACCGCGAGAGCGACAGATGTAGGAGAGATGAACTTCATGATATCTTCAGAGGAATAGAGGAATGAAAAGCGGACGTAAGGGAGAACAGAAAGTTGCGAGTCGGTCTTCTGGGGAGAGGGAGAGGAAGACGAGGTAGGTATCTGAATGGTCGATCCCTGTTCAGTGCCCAGAGAAAGTGCGTTGCAGAGGACTTTATATGCGAGGGTCCTCAGGAGACGGGTGAAGAGGAGAGTCCTCGTCGTGCACCATAGAGTTGAAGTCGTGAATACGGCATGGTCCGTTCGGCAACATAGAAGTGTCTGGTAGAGGATGAGATCGCTCCTGTGGAGGGACCGCTTGTATTGAGAGCTGGTGACCTGCAGGCGATCACGCTCGGTGCCAAGGGCACGCGCACCGTCGACATAGGATCGACTCAATGGCAGGCGAAAGGAGGGCTGCGCGTTATTCAAGACACCCTATATGCGCTGATGAATGTTTTCTGGCCACGGCCGTGAGATGCGCTGGAGTTGACCAAGCGTGCAGAAACCGAGATCTATGCGATGTCAAACGGTTGGACGGCACTCTGGTGCGCGTTTAGTAAAGTGGAAGGTATACCTACGTCTTCACGAGTGAGGGCAGGCGAGACATGCTCCGAAATAGGTTTCATGGCAGAGAATTGAAGGATCCGCAGCGACGATCGACATTGAATATTGAAGCTCCTAGAAGACGCATATAGCCTTACGCCTTGCTCAGTAACCCAAATAGACGATCAAGAATGTTAAAAGGGTCACTGTTACGCAGCCTCAGGCATTCTCCGTTCCTTAGCCGGCGAGGGGCTGAGGCTGACCACAGAGGGAAGATGTCAGAAATCGGACCAACGAGCCCGACGGTCATCTGAGGTGTGGGGAATGTTGGTAACGGTGACCCCTGAGGCAGACCTTCGTTCGTCTTCCACGGGTATCACTCAAGGTGGCTTCCGAGACTCCGCCTTAGAAGATGCTCTGAGCGAGACGAGTGGGAAGATGGAAACCTCACTGAAGTATCCAGCCGAAGGAAAAATCAACACGTCGCCCGTTGTTTGGCGAGGGCTTTCGGACCTAACAACTACAAACAAAGGCCAAGACAAAGTACGCGACTCGCATCCAAAGCGCACCAGCTTCGCAAACCTCCTATGTGACAATATCCAGCAGCCCTACTATGAAGTAAACACCTGTGTAAATAAACATACGGCAATCCAGCACAAATTGAGTCCTCAGCTGCTACACTCCGCCCACGTGCCATTCCCGTTACTCCGCGCAAACGACTGGCTCTCCACGAAATTATCCAACTGGCAGAGCCCGTCCCCGCTCCCGCAGAACGCCAACGGCATCACAGCATCATTGACCAGTACCCGGATCGACGGCGTCCCACCGCAGTCCAGGCGCTCCGCAACAAGCCGCGCAGAGAACGGCACGATCTTCGACAACACAAACGTCCTGTCCGCATCCACACTCGCCGTGCTCAGATCCGCGCTCTGCTCAAACAGCCCCAACGCCGCGAAAATCGACACCATCTCATGATCATGCGAAAAGTCCGCATAAAAGCTCATTCCGAGCGGGAACGTCGCCGGATCGCCGTCGAGCGTCGCGTTCGTCTGCGTCGCGTCCTGCACGGGCGCGTCCTGCAGCCGCGCGAGCAGCTCGTTCACCCACCCGACGCCCTGCACGGGCCCGAGCGCCGCGCCGTACGCGTTCGCGTAGTAGTCGTCGAGGTCGTTGTAGTACTCCCACTGCGCGAACTCGGCGTCGGTGAACAGCCCGCAGAACCCGGACGCGCGCTCGTACGCGACCGTCTCGGACGGGCAGAGCTCCATCAGGTTGATCACGTCGGACTTGCCGATGCTCGCGCCGGGGCAGTCGTCGTTGATCCGGTCTTCGATCGCGGGCGCGAACACGTCTTTCCAGTCGTTTCGCTCTTTCTTGCCGGACTCGGCGTTGGGGCACATGTCGTCCTCGAGCGTGTCGTTGGTGCTCTGGTCGATGATCACGGAAAGGACAGGTTGGTACTGGTTGCTGCTGGCAAACGCGAAGCCTGCGGGAATGAGCTCATCTGATGAATGGGTCGCGAGGATGACCTCACCTGCAGTCCAGTTGTTTGCCGAGTCGATGACTCGCTGCGAGCCCGATGCCCGTACAAACGGGAGATAGCTCGAGTTGACGAGTGACGCATACCGGGTGTAAGCCACCTGCCCGGAGTCGTAAGACCTACGAACGATAGTCAGCGCTCCAGATGCGACCTTTCCGCTTCACCTGGAACCATGGGGGAAACCCAACGTACTGTGCAGCGCCGAACGGCACCAGATCGTCCGTGCCAAGCCCATACGTCCAGTTCGCCAAGAAGTCGTACTGCGACCCATTGAAGCTCTTCGCGCTCTGCAGCTGCTCAGCGCTCGCCTGCATATCCTCCCCGTCGCTCTGCTTCGGGTACCTTGCGCCGTGACGTTGCAGCTGAATGCGTGAGGAAGTTCATTCAACGTTTGTGAGGCGCAATACATCGCGATCAAACCAGTTAGCGTCATCGTTCGCGAACACGGAACTAGCGCGAGGCGCCCAGGGGCAGAGAAGTGTAAATACGCACCAGGTTGACCTGCGTGATGGTGCATCCATCTGGCGGGGCCGTGTAGTTTTCGACGCTCGTGTATGGGGTGAGCTCCGCCCAGTACTGCGTGAGCGACGTGGAAACCCCGAGCGAAGGCGCGGTAGGCGTCACCGCAGCGGAGACGAGTGGGCCCGCGAGGGCGAGGAACGCTGCTGCACGGTGCATCGGTGCTGTTGTCAGCGGCAGGAGGGGAGAAGCCAGAGGCTACTTTTGGTGTGGATGAGCTGTCAGGGAGGCAAACTGATAAATCTTAGGATTGTAAAAGAGGCCTTATATGCTGCTGGCCGCTGATGGGAGAAACTGGGATAGACGGAGAACGGAGCGGCCGAAGGCCATCCTGCTCGGGAAGTCGACCATCTCTTACTGTACATTTCGCGAAGAACGTATGGGTCCTTCGCTTCTGCCGGAGTATATGGCCAGTGACGCTTGTCGGCACAGGGCGGCATACAGCGTATGATCAGAGGACGACGCCCAAAGCGTGCGCCTTGGCGAATTTACAGTGTGGCCTCATGAGACAGCGCATGAATCCTCGCCCCTGACCTCGAACGGGGGCAGCGAGCGAGCGAATGGTAGGAAGGGAAACCAGGAATACCGCTGTGGTCGTGTGCTTGCTCAAGAGCGAGGGCGGATATGCATGGGTATGGACGCACGTTCGGTAGAATGAAGATGATGATTTGTTCAGCACGTTCTGGCAGCTAGTATCTGGAAGCTTCCATCGAACAATGTTGATGCAGATGTCCCCTAATGTAATCGGATGTTATTTTTGGGAGTCGACGGAGGGTGAACTATCATTCTGTGCGTGAACCTTGCTCATAAGAATAAACAATGGCGTGTGTTCGATTCTTCATAAAAACACTGACTTCAGGGGCTAGGCGGCGATAAGTGCATGACCAGGAACGATAGCCTGCATCCGCGAGAGCTGAACACCGAAAGTTTGCCATCATCTGATGGCGCGAGTGCCTGACAGAATAGGCGACAGTGCAGACGAATGCGGGGAAGAGTACTGTCGTGGTCGTCCGGCGAATGATATTCCGCTGTGTTCGCACGTGCGTCGATGGCGCCCAGCTGTGAGAGGGCCCACGTTGCCAAAGAAAAGAGCGTGAGGAAATCCGAGTGCTTTGATTGTAATTGGAAGAGGTTGGATCAACGACGTGGCGTTCGTCGCGTAAGGATCGTCGGTCCTGGCTTGTAAGAGCGATGCGGACACGAAACAAGGAGGGCGCTATTTGTTCTTGTTAGGAACGGAAGTCTTCGGCAGATAACGAAAACGGCGGCGTTTGCATCCGACCCGCGCCCGTGTCTCGGGATCGCGTGTCGCGTTCTCATCCTCGTCTTCGAAGGCGAATGGCTAGAGATAAATCTTCCTGAAAGTGCGGGTAGTACGCGGGTGCACCTTCGACGTGAACAAAAATCGACTTCTGGGACCTCTGTGGCCAACCTGCTTCGTCCTTAGCCCTGCAAGTGACGCAGCCAATCTCTTCGAGCTCGAGCCCGTCTCGTGGCGCTCAGTCGTGCGCGCTGTCCTTAACCAAGGTGTTCTCTTACCCTCTAGAGAGCCTTCGTTCAAGATGACCTCTGACATGACCTCGGTACTCGCTCCCTTATGTCGCACCCAATGTCCCTATTACGTTACCCTTACGTCCTACAAGGTTTCATTTGCGCCGTCGCCGCACTCAGCGCTCAACGTGCCCGCTGTATCTCAGCAATGGAAACCGAGCGCGTCTTCTCTTCGCGTTTTCTCGAGCTTTTACTTTTCTCCCCATCATCGTCCTATACTGAGCCTTTGGACGTTCGTCCTTGTCGTTGGCCTCTCCTGTTGCTGAAGAGCTTAAGAATCAACCAGTTGCACCGCTTCGGAGAATCAGGATGGTATGTATGCTCATGATGAGCAAGAGCTACTTTGTTTTTGCCAGACATCTCTGACTCAGATTTTCTCATAGCTGCCTTTACAGCTGGATGCATACCACGTAGAGAAACCCTCTTCTTCTCTCAGTCGTCTCCTGGGTGTCCCCGAGATCCTCCTTCTCATATTCGACATCCTCAACGCCGATACCCACTATTTTCAACCCGAATTCGACGCGGACGCGGAGAATATCGTCCACGACTATATCCCAGACCCCAACACAGCCTTCCCGTTCGCACCCGCCCTCGTCTGCCGCCAATGGCTCGACCTCATATGCTCCGTCTCCGCATACTGGCACACCCTCGTCCTCGCCGTCGACTCCCCCCTGCTCACACCCCCCATCGTGCGCAAACTCGTCGGCGCCGCGAAGCCCGGCACCCTCGTCGGCATCCGCCTCGCGTCCTCTGCCTCGCACCCCCTCACACCACACGCCGAATCCGCCCGCGTCGCATACACCCTCTCCCTCCTCCTCCCGCATCAGCACATCTGGCACTGCACGCGCCTCTCCCTCTCCCTCCGCTACCACTCCTCGCTCCTCGTCGCGCGGCGCTACATCCCCACCGCCGTCCTGCGCCAATGCACGCGCCTCGCGTTCCGCGCGCACATCACGGACAGCACGGCGAGCCTGTGCGTCTCGCTCCCTGAGCGCGCGGGGCGGCTGGAAGCGCTCGATGTGGACGCGCAGACGTTTTTGGAGACGTTTTCGCAGTTTGATCGGTGGGCTGGGTATACCGGTGCTGGATCGGAGAAGCCGGGGATGGCGCTGCGGATATCGCGCTTTCGGCCTCGAGCCGACGGCGGCGGCGGCGGCGTAGGTGGGGAGAGGTACATCTCGCGCGAGGGCCTCGTCGCCGCTCTAGGCGTGCTGAACGCCAAAGTGCACCTGACGGCGCTGTCGATCTCGGACGTCGAGTTCTTCCCCGCGGCCGCAGACGCGCAGCAGCAGCAGCAGCAGCCGGGCGCGATGTACGCGCCGTTCGTGGAGAGTGTCGGCAGGCTCGTGTTCGAGGACGTGGACGGCGCGTTTATATCGGCGTTTTACGCGCATTGCAGTTTTCCGCTCGAGGAGCCGCCGGAGGAGACGACGATAAGGCGGTGCGCGTTGCTTCCCTCGACTGGTATTCAGAGTCGCCACATTAGGTTCGCTGAGATGGAGGCGGAGCACGCGAGGCACCTTCCCGTTGCGCTCGCGCACTGGCACGGCACGGGTATGACGTTCGAGCGGTGTGGTGGGGCGTTTGTGGGGAGGATGCTTGGGGCGCTTGCGTACGGGGGCAAGCCTGAGGGGTCGAGGTATATCTGTGAGAAGCTGGAGCATGTGAGGATCGAGGGGTGTCAGTTTGAGATAGAAGAGTTGAGGACGATGTTGGAGGTGAGGCGAAAGGTACGGAGGGTCAGAGTTTGCGGAGGGCCGGAGATAGGTGAGGAAGACAGGGAGTGGCTAGATGCGAACCTCGACGAGTTTATGTGGAGGAATGGAAGCTTTGAGGTTGCCGTGGGCGGGGAGTAGAGAGCTCAGCCTTGTGGAGTAGCTTTTCAATATTTCATTTTCGTACAACCTCAAACAAAGTCCAGATACGATATAGCACTCGGATCCGTACAAACGTGGTCTATAATCGCATCGCTACTTCACTCGTAATCTTACATTGACGACAACAAAAACAGTATCCTGAACCAAGTCGCTACCGCCTGCGACGCTCTGACGCAAACCCTGTCTCTCCGCTCACTGGCAGAAGCCGATCAGCGTGAAGGCGTTGGCCGCGTCTGCAAGAACATATCGCGTCAGCAATCTCGTTAAGGGCGGTAGCGAGCTCAAAGGGCGTACCTCCGGGGGCGTTGTTGTTAGTGAACCTGTTGACAGCCCACACCTGGCGGCTGAAAAAGGGGGCGGATCGGGACTGTGGCCGCAGAGCGAAAACAGGTTAAACGCTTACTTAAGTACGATTATCGTGCCGGCTTGGTACTGCACATGTGACAATTCAAGTTTAACAAGGGAGGCTGAGGGAGGCGGGTCGCGGACGTACCGAAGCGGCGCGGTCGAATTGGTTCGCGAGCTGGTTGCAGTCCAACGGGCTGTATACGGTGGCCTGGGGCTGCTCATGCAAACATGATCCAGAAGGAAATGGTCAGGACCGATTGTACGCTTCGATACACGCGAAAAAGACTGACAGAGGCGAGCGCGGCGACGGCGACGGCGAGAGTGATGAAGATGGACTTGAACATGTTGGATGAGTTGAGTTGGGGTGGGGTGGGTGGACGAAGGATGTGAGGTGAGTGTGGGTGATGAGAGATGAAGGCAGAGCTACGTTGAGATTTTATACGCGTTAGGACAGGGGAGAGCCGTGGCTGAAGACGCGCAGGATCATGCTCGATCACGGATGAATTTGCAAGTCGTGTCTTGTGAGAGAAACATATGAAAGGTCAAGTTGGTCATGCGCTGCAGAGAGGTCATACGTTGACGCGCTGTGAGACCAAGGGCAGAGGCAGAAGACAGAGAAAGTCGTGCACGAGAACGCGGGCATAGCGTCATAGAAGGTCAGAGAAAAGGTCATAGAGCAGGTGCAGCGTCGAGCACGGGTGTACTAAAGCCTCGTTTGTCGAGCGATGTGCGGGTTAGAAATTGTGTGATCCGGTAAAGAGAGTCAGAAGGTAATGATCATCGGCCTCGTTGAATTGAGTAGTGGAGAGACACCAATCGAGGGTGCGACAAATGAGTTGGAGATGCTGGAGTCTGACCAGCGAGACTCGTCATGGTTGAGTGTCTGAGCTGGTCAGTTCTACGTTCTTGAAGCCTCACGATGAGGTCGAGAGTGGATTTAACACTCCTATACCAGACGTGTATAGGAGAGCAACTGGAAGGAAAGGAGGAGATGACCTTGCCCGGATAAGGGCGTGTGGCTGTGCATGAGGCTACACGTCTGCCACGCGCACCAAATTATCGTTCGCCTCCAAGTCCCAGACGGTCCACGGTTCAGCTCACCATGCTCTTCGATGTGAACGTATGTTTCTGGTTATATCTCTATATGCACGCGATCTGACGCAGCGACCAGCGAAAACTGCTCTCGCGGTCGGACCGCGTCAAGGGCACCGACTTCCATCCGACCGAGCCCTGGCTGCTCACCGGCCTCTACAACGGCACCGTCAACATCTACAACCACGAGACAGGCGCCATCGTCAAGTCCTTCGAGGTCTCAACAGTCCCTGTCCGCTGCGTCAAGTTCATCCCGCGCAAGAATTGGTTCGTCGCCGGCTCAGACGACTTCCAGCTCCGCGTCTTCAATTACAACACCCACGAGAAGGTCGGCGCCTTCGAGGCCCACCCAGACTACATCCGCTGCTTGACTGTCCATCCGACGGCCAGCATCGTGCTCACTGGTAGCGATGATATGACGATCAAGGCTTGGGACTGGGAGAAGAACTGGAAGTGCATCCAGGTCCGTCCATCCGCCACCAACAAGTGTTTCTTCCGATTGCATCTGATCGCCCATTTCTTCATGTCGTCGATCACACTAGGTGTACGAGGGCCACACGCACTACATCATGAACCTCACATTCAACCCCAAAGACGCCAACACCTTCGCCTCCGCGTGCCTCGACCGCACCGTCAAGATGTGGTCCCTCACCTCCCCGAACGCCAACTTCACCATGGACGCCCACGACAAGGGCGTCAACTACGTTGACTTCTACCCCGGAGCCGACCGCCCCTACCTTGTCACCACCGGCGACGACAAGACCATCAAGGTCTGGGACTACCTCTCCAAGAGCTGCGTCCAGACCATGGAGGGCCACACCAACAACCCGAGCTTTGCTGTGTTTCACCCCAACTTGCCGATCATTATCAGTGGGAGCGAGGACGGGACGGTGAAGATCTGGAATAGCAACACGTACAGGCTCGAGAACACGCTGAGCTACGCGCTCGAGCGTGCGTGGTGCGTCGCGCTCCGCAAGGATGCAAACGAGGTTGCTGTGGGCTTCGACGAGGGTGTCGTTGTTATCAAGGTATGCACTCTGCTCGTCCCCGCATGCGTCCTTTCGGTGCTAATGACCGCTGCAGCTCGGCAGGGACGAGCCCACATACAGCATGGACCCCTCGGGCAAACTCATCTACACCAAAAACCAAATTGTCCTCTCCAGCAACCTCGCCACCCTCTCCCCTTCCTCAACCTCTTCCACCGCGCCCTCGGAAAAAACAGACGGCACGCGCCTCCCCCTCTCTCCAAAAGAGCTCGGCACAACCGAGATCTTCGCGTCCACGCTGCTGCACTCCCCGAACGGCCGCTTCGTCACCGTCGTCGGCGACGGCGAGTACATCATCTACACGGCGCTCGCGTGGCGCAACAAGGCGTTCGGGAACGGCAGCGCGTTCGCGTGGGCGGGGGACAGCAACACGTACGCGGTGCTCGAGGGCAAGACCAAGGTGCGCGTGTTCCGCAGCTTCAAGGAGCGCGGCGGCGCGGGCATGAAGGGCGCGGGCAGCTGGACGGTCGATGGGCTGCATGGCGGGCCGTTGCTCGCTGCGCGGGGGAAGGGCTTTGTGGTGTTTTGGGACTGGGAGAGCGGGGAGATTGTGAGGAGGGTTGATGTTGATGCGAAGAATGTGGGTTCTTTGCGTTTGGCTATGGCTGATGATTGAGTTCTAACTTTCTCTGTAGGTCTACTGGTCGGCCACGGGCACGCTCGTCGCGATCGCGTCGGACGATTCGTTCTATGTTCTCCGGTTCAATAGGGACGCGTACACCGCCGCGATCGATGCGGGTGCAGATATCAGCGACGAGGGCGTCGAGGAGGCCTTTGAAGTCGTCGCCGAGATCAACGACTCGTGCGTCCCGTTTCCTCGTCCTCGATCTACACTGCTTACATGGAACCAATTACAGGGTGAAGACGGCCAAGTGGACTGGCGACTGCTTCATCTACACGACAGGGACGAACCGGATCAACTACTTTGTGGGTAGCGAGAGCTACACGATCTCGCCCTCGGATACGTGCGTTGTTTCCTCTTCTTTGCACCTACTCCAAGCTGCTGACCTGATATACGCACCGACAGCCCGCTGTTCATCCTCGGCTACCTCCCAGCGCACAGCCGCGTCTACCTCGCAGACAAGGACATGCACGTGTACAGTTACGCGCTTAGTCTCGGCATGGTCGAGTACCAGACCGCCGTCCTCCGCGGCGACATGGACGCCGCAGCCGAGATCCTGCCCACGCTCCCGCGCGAACAGCTGAACAAGGTCGCGCGCTTCCTCGAGGGCCGGGGTACGCCGCCTTTCCTTCCTCCCATCGTTCTCATGTCTCAACATTGCCTGGTCCGCGTAATTATAGACCTCAAGGAGCTCGCGCTGCAAGTGACCCAAGACCCGGACCACAAGTTCGACCTCGCGCTCTCGCTCGACGACCTCGACGTCGCGCTCGACATCACGCGCACCGTCCCGCCCGCCGAGGCCGAAACCAAATGGAAAGCGCTCGGCGACCGCGCGCTCGCGGCGTGGCGGTTCGACCTCGCGCGCGAGGCGTTCGACAAGGCCGGGGACCTCAACTCGCTCCTGCTCCTCCTGCTCGCCGTCGGCGACCGCGCGGGGCTCGAGGGGCTCGCGGGCCGCGCGGAGGACAAGGGCGCGAATAATCTGGCGTTCGCGACGCGGTTTCAGCTCGGCGATGCGGGGAGGTGCACGGAGCTGCTGGTGAAGACGGGGCGCGCGCCGGAGGCGGCGTTGTTTGCGCGGACGTATGCGCCGAGTCGGGTGCCGGGGGTGGTGGATGTGTGGCGCGGGGAGCTGAAGAGCAAGGGGAAGCCGAAGCTTGCGAGCGGGATTGCGCATCCTGGTGAGAAGGCGGAGCTGTTTGAGGAGGGCTGGGAGGATGCGTTGAAGCGCGAGCAGGAGGGGCCTGTGGCAGTGGAGGAAGAGGAAGATGACGACGACGACGATGAAGACGACGGTGAGTATTTTCTACCGTACCGTCTCTGCAATTAACGTTTCTGACGCTGGTATTGTAGATGATGACGACGAAGAGGAAGAGGAGGAGGAATCAACACCGAATGGAAGCGGGGTACTGGTTGACGCCGCTTGATGGCGGTAATACCCTCGTTTCCTCGTCCGACATGTAAAATGCTACACGCAGCTAATTTCTATTGCTATCTGCCTTAAACGTTGTGCGCCTTTCACCAGCAGGTAAGAAAACCCCGGTTAAAGCGGCAAGTATCAAAGGTCAAGTGCAAAGGGTATACGGGCCTGGCAAGTAGATGCAAACGCCTACATACGCGAGCAACACCAGTCTTGCACCAAGCCAACCGCCCCTCACTTATATATGGCTAACCTTGCCGATTACAACGACAGGCTAAGTAAGGTCTGACGGTCATGTGAGGACTGCTTACCGATAACACGCAAACCCACCTAATCACAATCTCCGTCAGCGTTTCAGGCACTTGGAGACTTTTGAAAACTCGGTTCATCAACGAGTGTTTATAATGCGATGACTCAAGGGTATGTTGAGCTCACTTCATCTGGTGTGAGGCAGCTGCCCAGGCAACTCATGGTACTCAAAAATAGCGGAAAATCCAAGTAGCTGTCTTCGTACTCACGCATCCTCGTTTTTGAGCACCAGAACTTCACTGAAGTCTGAAGTACATTGAGGAGCCTGGAGAAGATCGTCAGAGGAGCTGACAGACCGACGGCACCTTTTGACCCAAGTCTCTTTGACGGTTGACAGCTGTCATTTCGTTAGCACGGTGTCTTAGTAGCGTCTTGGTAACGCGGGGCGGGTAAAGTCACGCCTTTGCTTTCGCTAACCAACCGAATAGGTCTCTAGTCATTTTCATTATGCATCAAACAACATCGGACGTGCCCTCTGCTGGGGTACATATACCCCCAGACCTTCACCCGGCTCTGGAAATGGAGGATAACCTAGCCATGAATCCAGACGTCGTCTCCGTTGGTTCGACGATGTCCAACGTCAAAGAAGCGAGCGGACCTCGTCACGTCGAGGCCGGGTTCTACGGTTGCTTGTACCTCCTTTTCGAAGCATATCCAGTCGTCTTTACTGAGGGTCACCACTTGAACCTCGGCCAGTCTGGGCTGGTGTTCTTGCCTCTACCTATCGGCGGTATCATCTCTGTCATTTTGGTGAGCACTTTCTCGGTTCGCCAAAAGCATCACGCTGATAATTATCCTATAGTACATTTTGTTCGTCAACCCCCGGTATGCCAAAAAGGTCGAACAATATGCTACTGCACCTGTGCCTCCTGAAGCGCGTTTGGACGTTACCCTGTTTGCTGCACCATTGTTTGCGATCTCGTTCTTCTGGTTTGCGTGGACATCCTACCCCAGTATACCGCTTTGGGCTCCATTGATGGCTGGAATACCGCTGGGCATTTCCATTTCCTGGATTTTCGTGAGTCATCCATCATATCGCTCTTATATTCTACACTAACGTACACTCCTAGCTTTCTCTACTCAACTACATCATCGACGCATACCTGATCGCCGCAGCCTCTGCGCTCTCTGCGAACACCATCGTCCGCAGCTGCTTCGGAGCTGGCTTTCCGCTATTCGCTACTCAAATGTATGAGAAACTTGGACCACAGTGGGCGTCGACGCTGCTCGGCTGCATCGCTGTGATTATGATCCCGATCCCGTTCGTCCTCATAAAGTATGGTACCAAGTTGCGCGCCAAGTCGAAGTTCGCACCTTCTGCATAGTTTACTCATGTCCCCCTTTGGCCCTTGTACGATTCGACGATCGTATGATATCACGACATCATCACTAATCATTAAATTGTTCAGTAAATACCTTACTATACTGATACTCGCATATTTCTTATCGTTGGAACGGTTATACCTGCAGTCGGTATCAAATCAAGCCGCGCTCATTCAATCCCTTTCATATTTTCAGTCCGCAGTAAGGCACTTTTAGGTCATACTCACGTACACTCTGTTGCAACGGCTGTCGCCCGCTTCATGGACACGTCTGGCGACACCTCTTCTGATGCCTCCGGTTTCGCCAAGGTCCTCGACTACGCTGCCACCATGAACTACGATATATCTGGGGTAGTTGGTCCTCCACCGGGCGCAGCCACATGCATACAACACGACTTCGGAGGCAATCGTCTCGTTTGACAACGCACAGTCGATCAAAGCCAAGGGTGCGTACGTGAAGCACACAAGGTTGATTGGATGGGCGTTCTCGGAGGCAGGTGGTGATTACAACGACATTAATATTCTCCTCGATGCCATTCATTCGACGTCTGGTTTCTAGACATTCTCTGTCTACGGTTTCATACTCCATACATTCTGTAGTTGGGTGTACATCTACTCTATCGATGCTTGGTCTACCCCTTGTACTTGTTGCTTCTCTCAATGGTCTCGCTGAAGAGGGGCAATTATGTATATCTGTATCGTAGTGATAACGCGACGAGTCATAATCACGTGTTTTGACGCTCCACGCAGCCTAGCCCCGATTCGAACTTAGAAGCCGAACGCCGAACTCAAAACATTTCCCAATTCCCATCGTCCTCCATGGGATGGAAGATGAGACCCACATCGAACTCTGTTATATCAAATGGCAATGGGCGTATTCTGCTTCGCTCCGGAAACTCCGCGCGTGGGAGGAGCTAGGGGAACATTTACATATAGAAGGTGGCAGAACGCGGAGAAAACAGATTAGAACTGCGCCTGCTTTCTCTCCCACTCGTTGACTTCCAGCCCAGTACTAGTACTACCGCTAGCTCCTGGCTATCCTCCGCTTCGGAGCTTGGATAACGATCGGGAAACGTACCAAGATCCCCCATCGTCTCCATCGTATGCCATGGGGACAGAACAAGAAGTGACTGGTAGCAGCGACTCGGACGATGGAACTCGTAGCATTTCCTTCAGCCAGCCCGCTACAGCGACGAGCTCCCAGATGATGTTCGAATCGGCCAACTTTGTGTCCTTGCCCACGGAGGTTACATGTGCAGTGAGTGCTTGTAGCCGTTTGCGTATCGATCGAAGAAATGAAAAGCCTTTCAGGTACTTTCTCAGCTTCACCCGGCGGACTTGCTTCGCTTCTGCCGTACAAGCAAGGATTTCCGTGACATGTTGATGTCCGAATCATACGACTCCATCACGATATGGAAGTCTGCGCGAGAATCGCACGGAGACGTTCCTGAGCCCATGCCCGGGGTCTCGGAGTTTCGATGGGCGACTTGGTTGTTCGAGAATCCTCCCTGCGAGGTAAGGTCCGTCGTTTTGTTGATCGAGATCATTTGATGAGAAAACCCTGCAGGTCTGTGGCAGCCGCATACCATTGTTGCAGCGTGGTCCCTACCTATCAGTGGGACATCGCGTATGTAAGGAGTGCTTCCGCAAGAAGTGAGCACACGAGGATACTACGAACGCTGTTCGAATGATACCTGACGTTCCCTATTTTAGGTGCCTATTCCCGTTTAATGTTTCTCGCGAGGAGAATCAGGATGTTCCTGATATTGAGCTCTTTTCCCTTTCTGTACCTAAAGGTCAGTAGTCCCGGCATCGTGTGGCGAAGAGCTCATCCCTAGCTTGCTCCATGAGATAACGGACATGAAAAGCCCGGGTTCTGGGCTGAAGACGTGAACGATGTATCAGCTACACTACGGTCGTTAACACGCGACATCGAACTGGATAAGCATGGAGCGGCTCAGGCTCTTGAAGATTACATGGATCGTCGTAGGGAGCTTGTTAGATCATCTCACCAGGTACATTTCTGAGATTATTCTATTGCTTTTACTCTCCATTCATTGATCTTTCACGTGCAATTATTTCCGCAGGCTTACCAGGATTTTAAACACTGGAGGACACGGGATAGTCCTCGGGTGAGGTCTCATAACCGCGAGGAGTACTTACCCACCCTAAGATAATGTGACTCCAAACTGACATTTAGAAGACTACAGAGTTACATTGCCGCCCTGGGGTATACTTGGGATGACTTCATGTTTGTCATGAGACGCCATCCTAGACCTTTCTATGATTACCTGTTCACGCGTGACACGGAGCTGAGACATGAAGGTGAGTGAATTTCTCATGCGCTTTCATCACTTGAATATGTGCACGTATGTCGACGTCTAATTGATGCACCGTCTTTCAAAGAGTGGAAAAAAGAAGAGCCTTTGGTTATCGAACAGCTCGGGCGCTGCCCAGCAGAACGTGAAGCCGAACATCGTCTCAATGTTTTGGCGGACAGATGGTCTGTTGTGACGGGACATTACAAAAACTATTTGCAGGACTTGCCTCCGCTTCGGCAGGCCGAGGCACCACCTCTTGCGGTCGCAAACCTCTTTCCTGGTATTGATATCCTCGTCAATAGCCCCTCAACGGACTTTTTATCTCATGAGCTCTCGCGAGCTATGAGAAACATCAAAGAAATGATCGCAGACTACATCGAAGCAAAGGACATGATGTGCCGCGACATTGCCGTACAGTGTCTCACACACAGTGACGACCATCCTCCCCCTCACCACCTCGCTTCCTTCGTTATTCAATGTGCACAGCAGGACTGTTTCAATCGAGCCGAATACGGGCTTCGTAATAGGCCACTCTTTGGGCCGGCAGACGTTCGGAACCACCACTGTTACTCGCAACCTCTTCCTGAGTCGCCCCTTTGTGGCTTGGAAAGCCGTTACGCCTTCAGCGATCGCGGGCGCGAGGTTGTTCTCTCCCTTCTGTCCTTGCTTGGACTAGAACCCCACACAACTCTTCCGGAGACACTAGACCGGCTTTCGGCGAGGTTCTTATGCGGCAACTGTCCGTCCATCGAAACAGCTACGAATGAGTCGAGGTATTTGTACAACTGGCGACAGAGTGTGCGTCGACGTTCACAAGTTATGTCATGATATTATCCTCTGACTAAACTCCGCGCCATTAGGTGATTCATTCTATCGCTAGCGACAAAGAAACACACGTGGAGTTCAAGTGGGAACTACTCCCCGATGAATCAGCAGAGGACGTCGCCAGACGGGAGAAACGTAGCAGGGAGACAGATACCTTGGACGCAGGGATTGAAGCATGGTGGTGCAACCATTGCAACCATACCCTGGAAAATGGCGAGGACCGCAAACTCAACGTTCTGGCTCATATATGCGAGCGGTAGGTGTCCCATATATCATAAGCTCCGCGCCATAGCTAACACGAGATAAATGTGCTCCTAGCCACAAGGAAATCCTGTCCCCTGAGGAAGGGCGTGATTTCTTCTTTTCCCCCGCACAGACCCGGAGCGGCCCCCAGCCCATACTCTATGTTGTCGAGCGAGCGGTCACCCCCAACTAAACGATACAATGTCGTTCGTGATGAAGAGACACGGTCACTGCTCCAAATTAGCGGTATCGCTTGTGCTAGTATCTAGTCCGTATATTAGAACACGTTGAATGCTCGCATATGCATACCACGCACGTTTCACGGCAGTGCTCACCGTAAGTTTCACCATCCGTCGTAGTTGAATGGAATAAACAACGATAACGATGGTGAAGAACGCACTGTGATGCATTCGTCGAGGGTGCTCAGCGCAACACGGGAGTGTTGGAAGCCTGGAACATGTCAAATGAAAACCCCCTTTGTTTGCAATTAATTACCAACGCCATCAGGTCATAATAGCAACAAACAACCTCCATCTCCCACAACTTACGTCCCCAACGTTTCCAGCTATATCACATCTAATATATTGTCAAAGAGCCCACAACCCGACACGAGGACGCAGACCAGCTAACACAAGGATTATGGCCAAGATGATATCAAGTAGAATGCCCCAGGTATAGTCCATGCGCATGCACAAGAAAGTCGTAAGAAGGGTAAAAGAGAAAAGTATGAAGACCATAGGAGTCTGGGAAGATAGTTTTGCAAACGCGTATTGTATGTAGACGTGAACGACTAAAGGAGCTATAGTGATGATGATATGAAGTCCGAAGAAGAGGTTGAGTGAGTACATCCATGTTATGACGGGTGCGGCGATGTGTAGGAAGTCCGAGTTTGAGAAATGAAGGTGAGTGTTCCGAAGTCGTTTCGTTTCCGGATGAAATGAAGGTTGGTGCGCGCGTTCTCCGATGGAAGTTCGCGCGATGTTTTGGTATGTACAGATCAAGCACGTACAGCAAGGAGCACTCCACACGTGTTAGAGGAACTCCTACGACTGCGACAAGATCTTGTCAATCGACTCATTCAGGAAGTCCTTGCGAGCGGCCAAGTCTGCCTTGGGGAATTTCGCTGCAATCGCCTCGCGAGCGGTCCTGCACAAATTGCCATTAGTATCTATCACCAGAGGCATCTTAGGTTGAAGACACTCACTTCTTCGTGACCGTCATCAGATCTTGCGTACTCAGATAGATCCTGAGCGCCAAGAACAGCTCGTCATCTGTCGGGTTCTCGTTCATGTTCGGCCCAGCGAAGGGGTTCACTGTCGTCGCCATCGAGAACGTCGACATCGGACGCGCACCTCCGCCTTCGCCGCCCATACCGGCACCCATAACCGGCACACCAAGCTGAGAGGCCGAGCCCGAGAACATGTTCATGTTCGTCATCATCGTTGCCCGTGGGTCCTGCGGCATCATCCCGTACACGCTGCCCGTCTGTTGGTACCCAAGCGGCGCCGGGAACGGCATCCCGTTGTGTCCGCCGTACTCGGAACCCCCGGTGATCGAGCCAGCGCCAAGACCGACACCAGCGAAGGGGTTGAATGGCATCTGCGGCAGGAACTGAGACATGGCCGGCTGCCGGCCGTCGTACATGGAGCCGGCACGCGAGCCGCTGTACATCGAAGGTACCCCCTTGCTGCGAGCGATGTTGGGGTTCGAGGCGTTATTCGCGGTCAGGTTCGTGTCGCGGTAATAGTCACCACCGTGTTGATTGTAGCTACTCGGCGACTCCGGACGTGAGCGAGGGAATTGTGGCTGAGACATCGTGTGAGGATAACCCGTCCCGTCAGAGTGATGAGACCCGTGCTCCCAAGCTTCCGCTTCGTATTCTGTGGGCGACATGGATGAGTGAGATGGATGATACAACCAAAGCAGCGTCATGGAACTCACCGCTGAACTTCTTGAGAGGAATCATCGACTCATCGAAGCGCTCATCCTCCGCCATGATGACCTTCTTGTTACCGCCATCACCGATGACGACGCGCGTGTTACCCCACGAGAAATCGTCCATGCACCAGAACGAGTAAACCGGCAGGAAGAAGGCGTACACCGGGTACGAGAGCAGGTACACAACTAGCCAACCGACAAGCATAAACTCGCGCTTGATGATGAAGATGATCGCCTGGGAACGTGCGTCAGACACAAACTCGACGGGCCAAGGAGCAGTGGGAAGCTTACCTGTAAACCGTACGTGATACCAATCATAATGATCGAAATGACCGGAAGCGCAGCCTGGCCTGTCGCAACGACAACGATCAGGTATACGAGCTACAACGCATACATCGCATCAGCATCGTTCACATCAAAATGATACAAAATGACACGCACATAACACAACGTAGCCGGCAAAATAATCGTCCCCAGCAAATCAATAAACACAAAGAACCGCATCGAGAAACAGCAGAACCCGCAGAGTTCCGGAAGGACCAGCAGCTCCACAAGATTGTGAATCGTCGAGTTAATCCACCGACGTCTTTGGGAAAGCAGCACGCGGAACGACTCGGGCGCCGTCGTGTGCGACACCGCGTGCGGGATGAACTTGGTCTTGAACGTCGGGAAATGCTTCAACAGCAGCGTCGTCAAGAACCGATCCTCGCCGAGCGAGAACAGGTTCTTCTTGTGCAGCGTGTCGACGTGGTTCTCCGCGTACTCGTCAATGATCCGGTTCGAGATGATCACCGGCCTTCCCTTGTCTGCCGTGCGGATGCGGTACAGCGAGAAACAACCAGGCAGACACGTGACGGAGCCAAAGAGCGACTCGAACGCCTTGGAGAGGTGGTGCGAGATGTAGTACTCGTATACCTGGATCATCGTCCACCACGAGCCCTCGGGGTTGAACAGCTTCGTCTCGCCGCAGATGCCGATGATTTTCGAGTCGTCCGCAGTAGCTGCGACAAGCCGGTTGAGTGATTCGGGCGTGACGATCGTGTCGGCGTCGACAGTGAAGATGTACTCGTAGAAGGCCGGGTCGATGCCGATGACGTTACGCATCTGGTGGTAGATCTCGAGCTCGAGCGGGTACATGGGTGCATCGAAGTGTACGCGATTGAGGTAGTGCATCAGGAGGATTTGCGAGTCACGCTTGCCGCGGTTACCGGGGCGGGAGCGCTCCGTGGGCTTGCCGACCTTAACGACGACCATGTACCTATCCGCACGCGATCACCGTTAGCTTCAGATGCAATGGAGGAGAAACGAAGGCAACGCACGGAACAACATGCCCCTCAAACTCATACAAGCCCGAGTAAATCTTCCCATAGTTCAGCTGCTTACTCCCCTCGCCGATACTCTTAAACATCAACGGCTCGGGGTCAACCTTCGGATCGACACCCAGAATATCCAAACAAATACGCGGCGTCGTGCGGTCATTGCCCGAACCGATAATGTTTCCATCGCAAATGAGGAACAAAAGCTTGCGCTTATCGTCGTAGTTGAGCGCCGCGAGCGAGTCGATCGTCCGGCGGAGCGAGTCCTCGCCCTCGGTGTAGCACGGGATCTGGCAGAGGATGAACTTGTCCTGCATCTCCGGGCTCTGCTTCCCGCCGAGCTGCAGCGCCGAAAAGACTGTTTCCCATACACATCACACATCAGCGCGCCGCTAACAAAGAAAAGAAAGGGAAGAAGGCACGCACACTTCAGCACAATACTCCCGCACAGAATACTCGTAAACACCAGCAACAGATAATTCTGCACCTGGCACCTGGCCGACTTCCTGAAATCCACCTGTCCGACCGTGAACGCATTCGAGATACAGTCCATGTTCGACTCGCGCGTGGCCGAATCGAGCCCGCCGAGCACCGCGTTCAGCGGCTTCGTGATGTCCTGCCCGGCCTGCTCCTGGAACACGCTCACAATGTTCTTATCCAGGAACTGGTACATGCTCGTCGCGCCCTGGTTGATCTGCACCGTGTTGACATAGTCCGTGAGATCGAAAATCATCTGGTTGTAGATCGCCCAGATCCTGCATTAATAATTCGGCGCGTCAGCTCGCGGTCCCTCCCAATAGCGGAGAGGAGAGGAAAGGAACGCACCTCGGATTATCCTGGCTCTGCGCCTCGCTCCACACGGCCCCCTTATCTACCACAAGCGGGCCCTTGTAATAATTCTTCATCTTCGGCAAGAAAGTCGCGCTGTACCAATCGCTGTTGTCCAGCGCAGTTCCCTGCGAGCTCTGCGTGCTGCCCGAGTTGTGCATCGCCTGCGGCACCGTCGCCGTAAAGTTCTTCGACGTCAGCTGCAGCGTCGGCTGAGTCACTAAGCCCTGGCACGCGAGCGCGAGCGGCGGCGGGAAGTAGCCCGTCAGATCCTGCCCCGCGAGCACGTCCAGGTTCGCCTTCGAGTTCGAAGAGATGCCCTGGATGTCCGAATGCTGCCCGTGGATAAAGTTCGTGAGGTCGTACACGCCCCCGTTCACCGCCGCCCACCAGTCGTTGTCGCCTGTGTGCTGCGCGACCTCGCCCGCGCTCCACGCCTTGTCGAAATTGGGGCACAGCAAGCGGCCGAACTCGATGATGTAGAAGATGATAACCGCGTTGAGGAGGAAAATGATGAGGCAGAGCGTCAGCTTCTCGCGCCACGCGAGCTGCACGTCCGGCCGCTTCATCCGCCCGACGTGGTGCAGCAAAAAGCCCGGCAGCCACCACGTGGACAGGCGAACGAGCAGGAGCCAGTACTTGCGCGAGCGCGTCGTTGGCAGCTCCTCGACCGTGTTCGTGTTCGCCGCCGTAAGCTCCTTCGTCGTAAAGTTCATCGTCCCTGCCCCCGGCGGCCCACCACCGGGCCCACCGGGCGTCTTCTTGTCCCAGTCGGACGCTCCCCATCCATCATCGTTGTCGGTATACGCCGGCACCTGCCCCGGACTCGGACTCGGCAGACCCTGGTGCGCGTACTGGTCGTTCGGGTCCTGGTATCCCGTCCCGTTCGTACCCGTCCTCGCCAACAACAGGTTATCCCTGCTCTCATCCATAAACGGACCCCCTCTCGGCGCGCCCATTCCGACATCGCCGTGGCCCGTGCCCGTATACTCCGTCGTGTCGTCCCTCCCACCTGCCTCCTCGGAGTCGGACTCGTCCTCCCACGTCCCGCGCATGCTCTTCTCCGCCGCGCGCACCCCGTCCTCGAGCGCCTTCCACGCGCCATAGCTCAACCACACACACCTCAAGCCAACCGCATACTCCGTCCCCTCGCGCCACCCATTCTGCGCACACAACGCCTTAATCTTCTCCTCTTCCGTGCCCTGCGCGCGCGGCCCAACATACCGCGCACAAAACGTCGCATGCTCATACTCCGCAACATACTCCACACTCCTCCTCGCCACGATATCCGGAAGCAGAAGCGCGCGCACCTGCGCCTTCACACGGCGCTTATCGAACGAATTCGCGCTCCCCGAGTCGTTCGGCCGTATACACGAAACGGTCCACATCTTGCTCCCGGGCACCTGGTCCATCGCACCCAGCAGCACCTCGCTCAGCGCATGGTTCACCTGCGTGCTGACCCCGTAGATCTTGGCCGGGTCCAGCCGGGGATGCTCCGCCTCCGCGAGCCCCGCCGTCGCCTGCGCGAGCGACGACGGCGCGCGCAGCGGGCGGCTCGACACCTGCGCCTGCACGATGATGCCCTCGTCCTTGCTGTGCCTTTCCGCCGCGAGACTCGGGCCCGACACCAGCTTGCTCACAAACGCGTCCTGCGACGCCCGGAGCAGCGTCACAAACGCCGCGTCGACGAGGTCCGCGTCCTTCTCGATGAACTGGCGCACGTCGTACGCGACCTGCCCCGCGTAGTGGTTGATCGCGAACGTGTGTCTGTCCGACATCGCGGCGTCCCCCGCGTGCGGCGCGGCGATGAACGAGCCGTGCACGCCGAATTTGCCGACCAGATCCTGCAGCAGATCGTCGTCCTTGCGCTCGCCGGACTTGCCGCTCCTGTACGCCGATCCAGCCTTCCCGAGAACACCGACAACGCCTCCAGGCTTCTTGCTCGCGCGCTCGGAGAGCGAAGCCCCGCGTAGCAGCTCCACGCACGCGCCATTGTCCATCGTCGCGACCGCCGGGAGGGAGACACCATCGCCCGTGACGTGCGCGTTGTAGCCCACCGCGTCTTCGAACGTGTGCCGCAGGACATAGGACTGAACGGTCTCGTCCGCGAAGTTGATACAAAACTCGTCGAACGCGTTCTGTCCGAGGTGGGAGAGGAGAGGTGCGGTCCCAGAGAAAACCATGCTGTGCGTGCCCGCGGCGCCGCGCGTCTGGAAGCCCGGCTGGTCAAGGATCGCAATCTGCGTCGCGCGACCGTGGCCAACGCCGCCCGCGCCACTGAGGCTGAGCGACAGGGAGGGGCGCGACTGCTGCTCGGCCCCTTGATCACGGTTCGAGGGCGCAAGCTTGTGGTTGGCCGTTTCGACAACATATGCAAACAAGATAGCGTAAAGGTCGCGGATGAAGCTATCCCTCTGCACCGCGCTCTGCTCCACGTTCAACAACACCGTATACACCTCCTTGCGGACATAGTTCGTCTTGTTCGTCAGCACCTGCGTGAGGTCTTCGCTCTGGACACCCAAGAAACGCGCGGCTTGCTCGAGCACGTGCGGGTTCGCGACGTACGCGGCAACATCCGAGTGGTCCGCCTCCGTGAACTGGACGTTGGACAACAGCAGGATGGCGACGAGGAGTGTGAAGATGGCGTTTACGTGCTTGGTCTTGAACCCAAGCGTGCGCATCGCGTCGCGGACGTCTTCGAGCGCGATCGCGTCGTCGCTGAACGGGCCATATGGAAGTCTGTAGCACCCCGAGCTCGCAAGGAGCGCGTAGTCCGACGGGTCTTCGAGCCCGAAATGGTCGCGCTCGCCCGCGGTTGCGCCCGCGAGGAGCTGATAGAAGATGTGGAATGAGCGCTCTTCATGCGCCAACCTTCCGACGCGGGATTTGTCGAGGGCGAACGCGAGGACCTTGGCGGCGTCGATGCGGCCCTTGTCGGTGAAGTGGAGTTCAAGGTAGCGGGTATGCCGGGAGGCGTTGGGGTTCTGCGCGGTCTTGGCGTTGCCGAAGGCGTCGAGGAGGGTCTCAAAGGACTTGATCTGGCTGGCGATGCGTTGTTCCTTCTTGGAGTGCGCCGAGAGCCGAAGGAGCTGGTCGACGAGGAGGCGATTTGTGGAGGATTTGCCGGAGCCCGTGATGCCACTTTGTCGAGTAAGCGTAATAAGGCCATGCATCGTGTATGGTTCGTGGAAAAGGAGATGCAAGGAGCCAATGAAAGGGAAAAGAAAAGGAAGGCAGCGAGTCAGCACAAGATACTCGCGTTGAGACAAGAAGAGAACGAGATATAGACTGACCGGCTGACGACGGCTTGGCTCTCGCCGCGTCTACGCATGAGGAGGTAGATCTGTGCGGCCATCTCATACACGTGGGGTTGAAGGACCCTGTTGGCCATTGGGCTGGCCGCTGAACCCCCTGCGCCGCCCTGGGGTGTCTCCTTGTAGCAGCGCTCCTCGTACTCGCGCGCTGTGGAATCGTTGACGTTGGAGAGGGTCTTGTAAGGGTTGACGACGACGAGGTTTGTGGCTCCTATGCGCGCGTAGGGGAGGTTGGCGCGGAAACGGGTGTTAAGGACTGCGAGGATGGCATCGTCGTTGGGGTAGATGGTTGCGGATGAGGAGGAGGAGACGAGGTCGACGAGGTCGCCCGTGCGGACTGCATGGGAGGAAAGGGAGGCGGACGAGGCCATCTAGGGAAACGGAGACGGTGGCCCCAGCAGTTTGCTAGCAGCCTCTAGGTAAAAGAAGGCAAATGGAAAAGAAAGAGAAAGTCAAAAGAATAGGTTGGGAAGAGAAAAAAGAGGCTGAGCGAAGCTGGAGGTGGATGTATGCGTCGTCGAGGCAAGAAACGAGCGCAGGCCTAGATCGGTCGCTGCTGTGGCAACTCCGTTCCCACTCTCTTCAGCCAATCCCCGTACGCGCCGCTCTCACCTTCCGTAAGCCATTCAAACCAGCTCATCGTCGTCTCTGGCAGCGAGGAACATTGTCGAGGGTCTATACACGGCCCCAAAGGACGCGTCGCGTCTTATGCAATTGCACGTCCCACTAAAAACAGATCATGCACCCACACGTCCTCTGCGCAGTCCACAGCTAAGCCTCCTATAGCCAGCCGTGGAACTGCCTCTCTCAAGCCGGCCTCGGCGTGGCTCGGCTCGCTTCTATTGTTAGAATACGATCGATAGCTCGCCCATCTCAATCATTTGACTAGTCGTCTCATAGTGAACACTATCTAACCACACAAATGTTCTACGGACTTCGATGCATTTGTCGCTAGCGTTGAGAATAATTCCGTGAGGTTTGTGTCAATGTGTCATGCCGAATGCACCGAAGCGGAGTTTCAACTAGAGCGCTACCGGGCGTCGGGCGACGGGCGTCGGTGCGCGTCTACTTTCTACTTCCCATCTGTTCACACATCAGATGTGTAATCTCTCTTGAGCTCGCCGGAACATTGCTGGTAGAGAATCAAATAGAGCGAGTAGCTTTTATTTGACCTCGTTAGGTCTCAAAGTCTGCTAACTTGAATCATGCACAAATGTGCGCCCAGTGAGCGGTTGTCGCAATCCAGATCCTCCGAGTTTCCGCTTCCAACCTTCTCCTCCGTCATGGTTTCAGGCAAGCTTGAAGGCCCACTCACCCACAGTCTCGACTCCGTGGAAAATCTACCTCGAACAGTGACGAAACGCTCTCTCCTAGCAGTGAGCTGCTGAAACTGGCCCCTGAGGCCTGAGGGTCTAATGTTGCGATGACACTCCTTGTCGTCGAGCTGTTGGCTACGTCTTCGCATGTTGAAACGCGATAACTCTCCTAGAATAATCCGCGGATAATGGCCGCTGGGCATTATCTACTTGGTCTACAACACCCCCTATGCCGCCAACATGTATCGTACTGCCTCGTTTGAGGACGTTTCATCAGAAGTCCTCGGATTCCCTCCTGTATCATCTGCCTGCGCTTGACCCCCATACGACAGCGACCACTGTCCTCTCAGCGTGCGGAAACACGACGTCATTTTCCTCAAACGCACACTCGTCTCAGAGTGCGGCTGCCATCCTTCTGTACGCTCTGCCTGTCCAATACTCCTAACCATGAAAGTATATAAGCCTTCGCAGTTCTGCTGTAGACCGACATCACAACTCACTCTCACAACATCTCAACGACACATCGTTCATAGCACTCTCACAAACTCACCAACAATGTTCTTCAACTCCGCTACAATCGCTCTCGCACTTACCCTCGCCTCGGTGGTTCAGGGTGCCACAATCGCTACTCGCGGTGGTGGTGACTGCAACGGCATCTTGGGATGGCAGCGTAACCAAGCTGTAAGCACCACCACTTTCATGAAAGCCGTTACCCCAACGACTGACACGAACACCATTCATAACAGTATTCACGCGGCGACGAGATCTCGTACTGGTATGCATGCACTCGCTCTAACCTCAAACTTACGATCGTGTCTCTGACTGCCACTCTTTTCAGGGGATCCATCTGGCAAGCGAAAGAGTGGAGCTACAACAACCCTCCGGGCGGTATGTCGTTGCACCCATCTCCTTTGTGACTACGTCGCTGATGCTATTTGGTAGACGCCGCTAACCAGTGGACCAATGTTGGTTCCTGCGATGGCGCTAACAACGGTAATGGCGGCGGCGGTTCGGGTGGAGGTCAGAATTGGAATAAGGCGAGAGGGGACGACGGCAATAATGCACAGGGTGTGAACAATGATAATGGCGGCATCAACAACAGCAATGGCTGGAACAACAACGGCAATAACAACAGTGGCAGTAACTGCGACTGTTCCAACGCCCAGCCCTGGTCCAAATCCGCACAGGTTCGCATATTGCTCCTCGTCGCTCCTCATCATACGCTGACAAGTATCCACTCGCAGTATCCCGGCGGTAGTTCCGTCACCTACAAGTAAGCTTCTCTTCGTCAATCACCACGACATAGACTAATCTTGGCTTCAGCGGTCACCTCTGGATCGCCAACTGGTGGGTAACGAGCAACTGCCCCGGTGGTGAGTCGAGCCACCTCTCGCATTCTACCTCCAAGATCTGACTTTTCTTAGACACCTCAGGCTCTTGGGCCGACAAGGGCGCTTGCACCAAGTGGTAAAGCCGAATAACACTTTGGCGGAAATTTACCCTACAGAGCCTTTTGTGACATGATTAGACTCTTCTCGGAATTAGATATCAATGTATTCAATCAGGCTCTTTCAATAACCATTGCTTCTTGTTATTCATCTCTCGTTGTGACTATCTGTTCCTCGCTTTTTCTGGGATAGTTTTACTTCATCATGCATGTGTTGGCGTGATTACTTTGCCAGTAAGCGGCAATGCCTTTGACCCGCGCCTTTCTCCCCAATCGAAAATTCTCTCTGAACGAGTGTTTCTTCAATGACATTTCCACCTGGATCAAACACTTCTGTTACAGCATCCACGTCATGACCACTAACATGTTTTATGGAGCAACAACTCATCCTGCATGCTCCGGAAATTTTCCTGCTTTCGTATCCCGATTTACGTGGATGTGTCTTCCGAACGATCGCGCGCTAGTTAGCATTCAACCAATTGGTTACTGTTCAAACCAAATTTTCTCAGCTTGTTTATATGCGTTTTAGTTTACAATGTCTAATATCATACTCCAGCAATTGAAGATAGATGGAAACCTAAGATTGCACAGCGCAGTGCCCGAAGCTCCGCGAGCACGTATCGGCCAGTTTTATTGGGCACACTGATGTAGCTGCTTGAGATCGTTATAATTCCTGCGTCACTAGCTATGCGACATGCACAATAGACAAGTGATCTTCTACGAGGGACGTCGATTGTGCTGGCAACGACCAGTGGGCAGCTATCTCAGACGATGTTTGGACAAGCTCTTTGTTATACATTCCATTTATACACAAAAACAGATACCCGCATAGCCCAAAGTAAAGGAAGAAATAATAACCCCATGAACCCGAGATAGTCGGATAGCCCCCAGTTTACAAAGCAAGCTGTAAAGCGAGCACAAACCACGTCAGCAGCTGCAGCGTCACCAAAAGAAACATCCACTCACAATCGCCAAGTGGCCACCAACAACGGGTCTGGCCCTGAAACCGCTCGAAGCGCCAGACTCTGTGTCGTACCAGTCGCTAAACGGCATATTGTTTTTGCCGTCCGCGATATACGCATACACGGAGTCGATGAGATTGTTGCGCACCGTGGTGTCAGTCACGAGCGCGGCAGTCCAGATCTGCCAGTCGGACTTGGTGTACGTGTGCCGCGTGTCGAGCGGGACACCGTACTGGTTGCGGACGGTGTTGTACCACGCAGTTTCTGCATATTCACGGTTCCGGTAAGGAGGGTTATGCAAATACGAAGGCGCGTGTACGTACGCATTTGGAAGGTGGACTGGGGGAAAACATCCGTGCCGAGGAGCTTGTCGGCGTAGAGGTTGTACGAAAGACCCCAGGTGTTCGCAGCGCCGTAATTGAGTTCGAGATGGTTGTTGGCAGTCGCGAAGTTGAGGATCTGGGGGGCATAGCCCGAAGCGATCGACTAGAGGAAGAAATAGTGTCAGCTGTTTGAGATGCTTGATGAGTTAAGACGATAAAGCGCTGACGCTGTAGTTCTGCTGGGCAGCCGTGTTACCCAGCAATCCCTCAATCATCGACATCGCCTTAATCCCAACCACGCCCTTGATGGCCAAATTCGTCTGATTCGCCAGTGACCCCGCAAAGTCATCCGTAGAGATCTGGCTCGCGGGAATGAGCGCCTCCTGGACGAGGTAGCCCGTCCACTGCTCAAGCAGCTTCGTGTACGTCTTGACGAGAGAGAGGTCGTTGGACTTCTGCGTGTAACTGAGGGCCATGATGAGCATGTTGCCGCACTCCTCGAGCGGCATCTTCTCGTCGTTGCCGGCATTGTGGCCAATGGCTTTGGGATATGAGGCTCCAAGGTCGTGCACAGCTCACTGGTTCGGGTACAACCCGGTCGCCTGGTATTGGAAGAGACCGAGGAGCAGGTATTTGCCCCATGTCGGGTTCAGGTAAAGTAGGACGGGCCAGGCGGGCATGATCACGTCAACGGTATTGACGTTCTAGGTAAAAGGGCGTTAGTAATGTCTTCGTAATAGATGAATAATGAGGTGCTTACGCCATCCGAGGAGATCTCCTTCATGAACATGAGGACGTCATTGGTGTTCCACGTACCATCGCTATTCTTGGAGACAGTAATCTCGGTGGCGCCGATGGCTTGGCGGATGGACAAGGCGACGACAGCATAGTAGTTGTTAGAAATAGCACTCGCGTCGTTCTTGACCTTGTTGTCGAACGTGTTGGCGGCGGATAAGGCAGTCGAGTACGAGCCGATGAAGTCGCTGATGAGACTCTGTACCGTGTTGTACTTGGTCCAGAAGTAGGCGCTGCGGTCCTGCAAGTTGTTGCCGGCAGTGATGTACTGAATAGCGGGATCGCGAACGTGGCCGACGGTATAGAGAGTATTGCTAGAAGCCGAGGTTCCGACGCTGCCGAGATCGTGTGCGAAGGCGAAGACGGGCCAGTTGTTGCTGACGGCGCGATAGTTGGTATCTCCGACGTTAGATAGCTTGCCGTTGTTGAGGAACTGGGCGCGGACGACAGTGTCTTGACCTGTTTGCCAGGTGGCACTTTGGCTCTGATTGAAGTCTCATGAATATGCACGTCGATAAACAAACAAAAGGACGACTCACATTCTGCGTAGAGTAGTATGCAGCGCCATACTGCGTATGATCCTGATACTCAGTGTATACCTGCGGGCTCTGGAGCTGGGCCTGGTGCGTCCAGACGTTGCTCGAGGTATCCGTGCTCCACTTGATGGCCTGCGATGTGTCGCCAGAGGCCCACTCGCCGCTGATGTCGGAGTAGATCTGGACACTATGTGATCCGCCGTCATTGGACTTGGCCGTGATGGCCATATAGGAGAACGGCGTCGACTGCTTGACGAGGTCGCTCGCCTCGACGGGGCTGAGGAAGTTGACAGTGAGGTCGACAGCACCGGCACTCAGAACAAAGGTGGATTGAGTTGAAGTGTACTGCGGAGTAGATCAGGACAAAATCAGGATGTTGCTTGGAGGAATCTGCACACACCGTCATGCTCTTTTGAGTGGCAAGAGCAGGGGCTAGGTTGGGGACAACGGGATCACCCAACCAAGTATAGGTCTTGCCATCGACGCGAACATATCCGGCCCACCCAAGAGTCTACGATAAACAACATATATCAATGCGCGCACAAAAACGGTGTAAAATCATCATACAGAGCCTGTCCAGAACTGAGGCCAAGCTCCAGCGAGAGAGGTGCCTGCACCCTGAGGCAGCCATGCAGAGAGGTATGGGGTGCGAACAGCAAGAGGAACAGAAGGTGGATTGACTGGATTTGCGGTCCAAGACGTCGCAGCTGTCCCGGTGGCAAAGAGCGCCAGAGACGCGTAGGAGAGAAGCTTAAGGAGACCCATGGCTTAGGAAGCGCTGTAGGATGAGGTTGGTGAGTCCTGCTCCCCGACCTTTTATACTCTACTCGTTCACCCGCATGCCCATTCGGACGAGTTACAATAGCGTGAAGACATAAAGATGGAGATTGTAGCGTAAACTCCGGCAGAAACGATATGCCACGCGCTCGACGGAGTGAATGCAGACGCGGTGGCAGGAACAAGGACGAGCGTCTCGTGAGCGGCGCGGGTAGGAGCTCTTTCTACTTCGGGTTCAATACGCCCCTGTCTATGACACTTCCCTGTCTGAGACCACGCCAACATCGTACCTTTCCAAACCTTTCACCATGGTCGTGTCGAGGTACCCATCCGAATCATCCTCCATTAATCCTTCTTTCTTGCCCTTGGCGTGTTTTTACATCTTTTTCATCAGCCTCAAGAGCTTGCTTGTCCCTGGACACAGATTTTGCTGCAACGGGAGAATGTCGTTTGACACAACATCCATGTGCACGTTGCTGTGAAAGCTTGGTGACAGCCTCAGCTGACTTATAGCTCACCGAGGAAGCGATTCGACTCTTCGCCTGTAACTTACATAAATACAGTCTCTGACCCAATATCCAAGTAGCCTACACCCACTACATACATTCAGGGCGCCTCGATAAGCCTTCGGGACGTCGCATCAGGAACAAGTTTGATCATGGGGTCAATTCCAGTCTTGGTGTACTCCGGCCGCTTCTTCGATCACAAGGCCGCTGCTCTCTTTACGACGGCTCAAATTCCGCCACCCATCCACTTCTCGACCAACAAGCGATTCAAGCTCGCGTGCTGCATGCCTATCTTCCTCTTCATCTTGTGCGTCCCAAAGCGGCGTTCGATCCGCCACATCGCCGTGACTGAAACCAGCAGCAGTAGAAGCCTGTCGCATACGATGTGCACGACGCCTTGCGATGAATTCCTCTGCCAGACTTTCCAAGTACGGAGCGATGTGTGGTTCGTACACCCGCTACGTAGTCGTTATGGAACGAGCCAACAACTTGAAGATCAGATGCCATGTTGAGCTAGATGAATATTTGGCCCACCTCTTTCAGGACCATGAAGAGCGCAATACCAGCCGCTATAGAAACCCCTGCAATTGCTCCTCTGACCATAGGGGAGGGCATGACCTCGTGATAGTTTGGAGGATACTCAGCGACAGCAGTGAGGAAGGGGCATACAGCCTGCAGCAGGCAATCTCGTGTTGTGCACGCGCGTCGGGAATTCCGCGGTTAAGGTTCAAGCGCCATTTAAGCGCTCGAATCTATCATTCTCCTTAGATAATCTAAAACGATCTATAATATAAGCGCTGGCCTTTGCAATGAATAGGCGACCAGCGTTCCCCGTGGAGATGCGGGGCTCACGAGAACAAAGCCCCGATCCCGTACCAAACCCATCCATAAACAATATTTAATTATGAACAAGGTGAACAAGTCGAAATTGGATGAGCGAAGATATAATGATGAGATCTCTTGAACAAAACCATATAATCGAACCACACAGAGAGAAACGACGAGAGGGAAGTCAATATAGAAAGAGTCGTAGAAGGCGAGGAGAAAGAAACAAGACAGAATCACATTCTCACCACCTCATCAGTGTCCCCCGCTATATCTTGTCGAGAGTCAGCCTGGGGAAAGCGTCTAGGCAGCGAGGACCGGGTTGACGTTGGGCTCGCGCAGACCGTTCTCTTGCATACGATTGAGGATGAAGTTGACAGGTGTGGCGTACGTGATGTCCAACTTCGAGTCGGGCGAACGCGTACCGCCGGCACCGCCAGTGAGGAGGCCGCCGATGCGTCCGAGGCCGTCAACGATGACAGAGCCCGAGTCGCCCTTCTCCGCAAAAGCGCCGGATTTATAGTCGAATGAGAGGATGGCCCATTCTTTGGAGGTATCAGTTGTTTCATCGTCGTGGTAGTAACGGATGTAGGAGAAAATGTCGTTGGCACGGCCGACGGTCAGGCCGGTGGCGTGACCGCGCTTGATCACCATAAGAGAGGGTTCGTCGTTCTCGTCGAGCACAGTCGGGTAGCGCATCTCTTCATCCGGGATGGTATCTGTGAGCCTCAGAATATTGTATATCGGATACGTGAAGGAATCGGCATTCCGGTAATTGGGGCGCATCATTCGAACGAGATCGTAGGGATGGATGCGGGTACCAAGGTCGATGCCATTGCCTTCGAAGTTGCTCGCGTCGACCTTGGAGGCGTCTATCTCGATGACGGCCCAGTCCTCGGTGTAACCCCCACTGCTGCCGATGTTGATGGGCGGAGAGAGGACGACGTGACCCAAAACGCGGCTCTCCGGGGTGCCCCAGTGAGCTGAAACCTCCTGGTAGAAGGTGTGAAGCTTTTCCATCGCCTCCCTCTCTCTTTCTAACTCGGCTTGGGCACGCTGACGCTCTTTGTTCTCTGTCGGGTCATTCCTCCCCTCCATCGCCTCAAAATGGTCCTCATGGTGCTGCGCCGTGAGTACCTTTCCTCCAATCTCGGCCTTGATAGATTTGAGGTATTTTTCGAAGCCCGCATCACTGAAGAGCATGACATTATGGCGAGGCTGGCTGCTGTTCGTATGTTCAAAGTGCTTGTTCTCGTTCTTGTCCGGTGTGAAGACGACGTGGCGAGCGGTGACGAGGAGGAGTCTCTCGGCATTCCCGCCCTCAGTAATGAAGAAGCCGCCGGTACCCTCAACCCAAGGCGTAGACTGGGCACAGATGGGGAGTCCAAGGGTGGTAGTAAGGGGTTCGCGAACGTCTACGGTGGGGTTGGAAGAATAGACGGACTTGAGGAACTTGGGACCGGTTGAGCGGGCAACAATCGACTCGCGGATCTCGACGTCGACGTCATCGATATCGTGTTCTACAAGAAGCTCCCGGCACTTATTTGCCGCAACGACGCCGTCATCCCCAGACAGAGATGCGGGCATCACGCCGATCCAGAGGATGACGGGGGCGAAAGACGTTTCAACGTTCCGGATGCGGACGACGTCAGTGCTAGTCCATTTCACTGTCATTGAGTCCAGAATGGCGTGGATCTTGAGAGCTAGGCCGCCTTCCCAGATCTCCTTGAGCGCGTGTCTACCGACGGCGCGTAGCTCCTTACGCTCGAGGTACGCCTCCGGGCCAGTGGGTGCCTTCCACTGAGTGGCGCCAGTGCGAGCGACCAAGATCGGAGAAGAGGGCAGACCGGCGTAGTAGCACTTGGCCTCCATCTCGGATTGAGGAGGCGGGAGCATGATGGAAGAGCTCTACGGCAGGGGAATCACCCGTGGCCAGAGAACGGCTGAAGTCAAGGTTCGAGAAAGTGTTAGGAGAAGGAGAGCGGCGACTGTTAGGCAAACTCGATGTCGGTAAGATGAATGTAGAGGACAACCTGGAGATCACTGAAGGAAGGAAGGACGAGGGGAGAGCTATAATGAAGCGCTCGCCCTTGGCTTGCCCTTAGGGATCGTGGGAATGCTCTGAGCGTTCGCGAGAACAGTCCCATCCAAACCTGTCTTGCCAGCTCCTTGTCCCAATCCACCTCCGACTCAGCGTATGTTATCTCAAGGAGAAGATACAAGATAGCAGCTGTGTGGCTATCCTATCCATAGACATTCACTTCAGGAACGCCGCCAGGCCTAATGCAACGCTTCCGCAGTGTAGGCGCATACGGAAGATAATCGATAACCACCAACCACGCGGGCGCGCCATCGCAACGCCTCCCGACCTTTATGTTAAGGAACGACTAACTCTGAAACCAATAAAAGTCCGCCTACCAGAAAGTCCGCCTACCAGAGACTACTTCCCACCAGTCCCTCTCTCCATTGCACCATGAATCTTGAAATACCGCGCTCCCTCATCAAACGGACACGCACTACGAACTGTTACTTCTGGATATTGCTGCCACCAGCATCGCAGCCCACATCGTTGGGCGCCTCGTCACCCGCACCTTCCGTCGCGCAGTCGATCTCTCTGGTACACCGCGGGACAACATCTTACGGGGAGCACGTAAGACCCTCAACAACGCGCCGGATGCGGCTGCCATATACGAGGAGTGAGTGCGCGCATTCGGGGCCCGTGTTCCGTATCCCGTTGCCACTGGGCATAGAGACGGCTGTGCTAATGGACCCGAACGCACTTGCGCACTTTCTCGAAGGAGACGGTGACGTACGTTTCGACGCCGTTGTCGAAGCTCTTTACCGACAGCTTGATATGTCAAACCACCTAGCTATGATTCAGGACGCAAGAGGGTGACATTATTTGACCTAACAGGCTGGCAAGGGGAATCTGTTGGTTGCGAGTGAGGACGTTCATAAGAGGTGAGGAAAGTGCTCTTCATACTTCATACAAAGTTGACATGTGAGTAGACAACGAAAACCACTGACACGCGGCTGAATTCCAACCGTCGAGATGGGTTGCACCTTCTGAAGAAAAGGGAGAGGGAGAAGGTAGGATCCCAAAGGTAGCGAGGGTAGTATAGGGGGTATAGGAACCTCTTGATGTTCAGTGATGGGCTGAAGACGTGTTTGGGGACGACGTTTGCTATAACCAAGCTTAAGGTGCGTCTTATATCAAGTTTCTATAGGTGGTATTATGAACGACCCGAACGACGTGACTGATGACGTCTCGGATCCCTAGGCCGTTCTCTCGGTGCTTGTCTGCTACTTCACATTCGAATTGCATGATGGACCGGACTCGAAGCTCAAATTCGAGACCGCACATGGGCTGCTGCCGTACAGTATCCGACACTGAAGAGCGAGAGTGTGACCACCGTTCCGCTGCGCGCGTAGGGTCGGCTATTCAACGCCCGTCTACGAGATGGTTTACCTTTGGCATGGCTGGGTTATCACTGGACTTGTACCGATATAAGTATAGTACATGTATGTTTTATTCTTCTTGCTACACACTGTATTCTTACACAAGCCTCCAGGATGTTCTTCAAGTCTCTCACCGGCACTCTAGGAACGACTATGCTCCGTAAACTATCGAATTCTACCTACGGAAAATTATAGTAACCCGAATGCGCGTCAAAGCATACCATGACAATGTTCGCGTTCCACTGCAAAAATTTCACCATAACTTGTGCCCATTTACTTTAAATAACTGGCCCGGTTAGTTAAAATAACTTTATCATAACTTGCCGGGATTTATCCGGGTGTGGATACACATTGTATTTTAAATAACATTTGACAGGTTATGCTAAAGGTGGGACACGCAGTTTTGACAGTTATCTTCAATTGTAGTTTCTCACGGCTGTCAGCCATATCATTGCTCATCTGTTTATTTTAAATAAAATGGAGTGAACATAAATGCGGATAAACTCCGCATTTGGATGGCAACAATCAAAGTCTGGCCCATGATGGTCAGAAACCAGACAATGACCCGGCAATGACTAATCATATGCCGGTCAATGGCCAATCAATGGCCAATCATTTGCCAGTCATTTGCCAGTCAATGGCGGGTTAATGGCCAAGTAGAAAGTTATTATTTAGTCAGAGAAATATGCTTTTAATCCCTCACTTCACAAACAATATGAATCTCAAAGTCCCATAGTACTCCCTTCCTTTTTATCACCAATAGCTGGTAATTAGTCTGATCATTTAGAGTGAATAAGTGGTTTTTTATTGCACATAAAATTTTGATGACCAGCCGTTGATTGGCCCCAGTGAAAAGTCCGTTCTGCTCCATACTTTACCGCTCTTTAAAGGTGTCTCTGTACTTTAAAACAGCTATCTGTATAATAAAAGCCAAGGTGTGACCAGAGCCTAGCCTTATTAGCTAATGAGAAGGCCTCAGAATGCTTCTTAGCACCATACTTTTGAAATTCGGCCGACCCAGGCCAAGGCAGGCTCAGGCAAAGTCATCAAATCGTCTAAGTCCCTGATTACATTGTGCATGCCTCCCCACAGGGCTTCCGCTTCAGTGTAACAGCCTGGTGTACAATGGAACAAGTAGTAGCATCGATCAAGTACTCATCATGTTAATTCTGTGTCCCTACTCTCGGAGACCTATCAAAACTCGTCCACAAAAGCACTTGCCACAACTCGCACAAAGGGCATCGCCGGACGCGCCAGGAGCCCAGGCACCTTCATTATATCTCTCACTTTGGTACTCTTCTTACTCTGTGAACGTCTGATATGGTCTTTGGGCTC